ACATGTGATTGCTCTCAACGCGTCGCGTCCAGGCATCTTCGACGGTGGTCGGGGTTTATCCTACGAAGCACCTCGGGTTCGCTATGTTCACCCTTGATGGTGACTCCTCTGACTATTTCGACGATGATCTGGGCGACTTGGGCGTCGACCGGCCTTCGGATGCGACTGACCCTGACACTCCCCCACCAGCCAAGCGCCGTCGTCTAAGAGCCGGTAAAGATGCATCAAACGCAGACCTGCAATCGCATCAGAAGCCACGTGCAGAGCGTGGTGATGGTGCTAGAACAGCGCTAAGCTCGGACTCGTTTATCGACTATGATGATGACGAAGTGCCATCTCCCGAACGAGAGTCACCCTACTTCCAAGACGATAGTGAACGGGAGGCACGGTCCAAATACAAAGTCTTCGCTCCCAAGAACGCAAACATCCAGGAGAACATCTTTGTGACACAGCTAACACAACCTCCCTCTCCGCCGGAAATGCTTCGTGGTCCCCGGTGGAAGAAGCCTGATCCTGGCTTGCCAACCCGAACTGTTGCCACCCCGCTACCAGAGACAACTCAAAGCAGAGAATCTGCTGCTGGTGATAGAGATGATGAGTATGATGATGATGAAGAGATGAAAGCGGCGATTGAGGCATCGTTGCAATCATTCGAGGAAGAAACGTCAAGACCAGCTCCCTCCGTGCCTTTACAAAAGCCCCCATCATCTACTCCCATTATTGGACAACAGAGCACTACCATCGAGGCCTCCAATGACCTTTTGGATGATATACCTGATGATGCCTTTGACTCAGACCTGTCAATGTCGCCGCCTCCTGCGCCCCAGCCTCGCCCGGCGGCTCGGTCATTCACACAATCAACGAATCGCCCACTAGGTGTCCGCCAAACCACACTATTTGGTATGGTTGCTAGAAACCCAGAAAATCAGCCACCGCGCGGTGAACAGGTGTACTCCCCGCCTGAGAAGAGCGAGCCACCTACTCAGCATAAACTTAACCAGGAAGCCTTGGGTACGTGGGTTTACCCTACAAATCTGGGTAAAACTCGAGACTATCAGTTCAACATTGCACAGAAAGGCCTCTTTCACAATTTGCTTGTAGCTCTACCCACGGGTCTTGGAAAAACGTTCATTGCAGCTACTATCATGCTCAACTGGTTTCGATGGACGAAGGATGCTCAGATCGTCTTTGTTGCGCCTACAAAACCGCTAGTTGCCCAGCAGATTTCTGCATGCTTTGAAGTCGCTGGAATCCCGAGATCCCAGACCACTATGCTCACGGGGGAGGCTGCTCCGGGAATCCGAGCCGAAGAATGGAAGGCGAAACGGGTGTTCTTCATGACACCTCAAACCTTGATCAACGACCTCAAAACCGGGATTGCTGACCCGAAGCGGATTGTCTTAGTCGTTGTCGACGAAGCTCATCGTGCAACCGGTGGTTATGCATATGTCGAGGTTGTCAAGTTCCTGCGGCGGTACAATCAGAGCTTCCGCGTCCTGGCTTTGACAGCTACGCCAGGCTCAACGGTGGAATCTGTTCAGGCTGTCATTGACGGCCTCGATATATCGAGAGTCGAGATACGGACAGAGCAGTCACTCGATATCAGAGAGTATGTCCATTCGAAAGACACGGATGTGCAGACGTTCCAGAATTCAGAGGAGATGGTCCTTTGCATGGACCTGATGTCGAAAGCTCTACAGCCACTTCTTGATCAATTACGGAGTACAAATGCCTATTGGGGCCGTGACCCCATGGGTCTCACAGCATACGGACTCACCAAAGCCAGACAGCAATGGATGCTGTCCGACTCCGGCAGAAACGCCCATTTCGGCGTGAAGGCCAAAATGAATGCAATATTCACTGTTTTAGCCAGCTTAGCTCATGGCATCGATCTTCTCAAATACCATGGGATTACACCCTTTTACCGTCATCTTCTGCATTTCCAATCCAACACCGAGGGACAAAAGGGCGGCAAGTATCAGCGGCAAGTCGTTCAGGATGAGAGCTACAAAAAGCTCATGAACCATTTGCAGCCGTGGACAAAGAATCCAGAGTTCATTGGACACCCCAAGTTGGAGTATCTGAAGCAGGTAGTGTTGAATCATTTCATGGATGCTGGTGAAGGCTCTGGGGCAGACGAAAACAAGGATCAACCAGCCACTCGCGTGATGATATTCGTACACTTCCGTGATAGCGCAGAAGAGGTCACGAGAGTACTCAAGAGATACGAGCCCATGATTCGGCCCCATGTCTTCGTGGGGCAGAGTAGCGCCAAAGGCTCGGAAGGAATGGGACAGAAAACACAACTCGACATTGTGCAGAAGTTCAAAAAGGGTACCTACAACACCATCGTTGCAACTTCAATCGGCGAGGAAGGTTTGGATATCGGTGAGGTAGACCTCATCGTGTGTTACGACTCTTCAGCTTCGCCTATTCGTATGCTTCAGCGCATGGGACGTACCGGTCGAAAGAGATCGGGAAAAATCACACTCCTACTCATGCAAGGCAAAGAAGAAGAGTCCTACATCAAGGCCAAGGACAATTACGAAAAGATGCAGCAGATGATAGCCAGTGGCACCCGATTCACCTTCCACGATGACATGTCTCCGCGGATCTTGCCCCCGGGTGTGCGGCCTGTTGCTGATAAACGAGCGATTGATATTCCCGAGGAGAACACTGTGCGAGATCTACCAGAGCCGAAACGACGCGGCCGGGCACCGAAGAGGCCGCCGAAGAAATTCCATATGCCTGATAATGTCGAAACCGGGTTCACTACGGCATCGCATTTGGCCGGGACCTCGAAGCGCAGAGTACCAAATAAAAGTAAGGCTCGAACGCCGACTCCAGAGCCCGTGGAATTACCGGCGCTTGAAGATGTCCTGCTTACCCCGGCGCAGCAAAAAGAACTTGAACTCCATTACAGCAACGCCGGGCCCAGTGAAGAGCTTTTGGTCAGTTATCCCAGAAGCGACGCCTTCCCACGCCTTCAGCTCGCGCCTAGACCTACGAAAGCGGTTAGGCACGGGTCATTAACTCGTCGCATGATTGAAACGTTGCAGAAGATGGACCAGATCACTCCAGACTGTGGAGATCGATACAAGGGGATCTTAGCGCGTGAGAAAGCCTCCATGCCAAAAGCCTCGATAGTAGCGCCTAAGCCCAACGGCCGTGGGGAGGCTCAGTCGAGGACCAAAGCAAGGCACACATCCAAGGTGGTGTCATCCAAGTCAAGGAATCAGGAAGAGCAGGATGTGACTGAAGTACAACGAACCCCACCAGGCAAGCACTCAGTATCAGCGACTAACGCTGAAGTGGAACCGTTCTACTGCTCGCAGAGGACCCAAGATGGAGATACAGACGATGATTTTGACCTTCCTGATGTCTCTACTCTGTTGAATAGGAGTGTGGAGAGGCCCTCGACACGGGGCCGGTTTGTTCTGGATGATAGTGATGACTGATTTGGACATGAACGCATAGCTTGGTTAACATTCTGCATTGGTAGTACTTTCGGTTGCATATACCCTTGGGCAATATACTTTGAAGATTACGGTGGAGTTATTCTTTAATGCCATACTAAACTTCTCCCTAGAACACCGTTACTGAGCTTGGTAGTTAAGACTAGGCGGACAGTAACTGAGACCAGACGCAGGAATTCAGTTCAACCCGTTAGTTTCTAAGTGTATAACTCACAGAGTACTCAATGAAATCATATCAAGTAAAAGCACCTGTTATTCGATTCTAACATCAACTCTAAATCAAAGATAGAAAAAGAACAAACACGCATAATCATACACAATACAGAATCCTATAGACATCGTCCCCATGCTGCACATAATTCAAAACCCCGAGATCATCCCATCTCATTCATAGTACCTAAAATCACCATGTATCCCCCTTCATCAAGCGAAGCATTCAACCACCTCATTTCCCCACATAATCAAACTTCTTCGTCGAATGGTTATAAACATACGCATACTCAGCCACATCGAATCCCCAGGCCCCAGTAACCTTGGTATTCGCATTACACACATTCCCTGGCTTCTTATCGGTGAAAGCCTGGCAATATGGCCTGTCCAGTTCATTAGCATCCCAAAAACCTCCCCAACAAACCACTAATAGAGAAAGAAAGGAAATACATACCCAACCTTCGCATTCTTCCCACTCTTCACCTTAAACCCGGTAATCTCGAACCAACTCCCGTTCGATTTTTTGTTCTTAGAATCATACGACTTGACCTTGTTCTTCTGGTAGAAGCTTCGAAGCGACCGCTTCTGTTCGTCTTGCGAGTTGATGGTCACGCCTACGAGGATGGCGCTGTATTGTGATAATATCTTTTCGTTAGCTTGCTTTTCTCATATAGACCCCTCATAAATTGGTAGATAGATGGTATAAACATACTCCTTTCCCCCTTCCTTCGTCGACGCAAAGGGAAACTCCTCTGCCGACACCCATCCCTTGTTATTTCCCCAGGAGTTTGTAGCCGGGGATGCTTTCATCCCGTACTTGGTGGGATCTTTGAAGGGTTGCTTGTTGGCTGCGCTGCCGGCTTCTACTTGGCGGTTTACGTCCGCTGCGTCGGCGTCGACTTTTTGCCTGTGGGATTATTATTATCCATTAGCTGGTTATGGATGTCTTGGTTTGTTGGGAAAGATAAGGGTAAGGGGCATACATCACTGCGGACTTGCCCTTGCAGAGCATCGCCCAGCAATCTACGTCGTAAGTGAGGGCATCTTCGCCGCGGATTTCGATCTCGCCTTTGATGGGGTTGGATTTACTGTCGCCTGGGTTGGAGCGAGGCGGAAGGAGAGGGAGAGGTCATCGGTGGTTGGGTGGGCAAGGGTATTAGGGATGGAGAGGAGAATGGTGAGGATGGGGAGTAGGGTTGATGAGAGGATCATTTTGATTGGTGACTTGGACGAGAATTGGGGATTGGGGATAGAGAGTCTTGAGGACTTGCTGCTGCTGTGTTGGATTGCATTGTTGCTCGTTCACTTTGCATCTTTTATATCATGTTGTAGATGCTGCTCAGGGGAAGGTCTTGAGGCTATACTACTATAGTTTTGTCTGCCTTGGGAGGCCGGATTTGGGGTCTAGTGAGCTGCTTCATGGCTGATTTAGTAGTGGCAGTGGCTTGGCTGGTTTGAGGGTGGAACATGTTATCTCGGATTGTGCTTCTAATTTGATGTATAGAGGAGAGGAAGGCAGTGATATGAGGTAAGTTGGGGCTGGAGACCCTGCTTGGAGGCCTTATCAGGGTCTGATGATAGAAAAGGGAAATGTTGAATAGGAAAGTACATCTGCGGTCAGCTTATCCAACATTCTGGTCTGCAGTGAGATGAGGGTGAGACTGTTGTAGCATGGACGTTATGCTGGGTTCAAAACTGATGCTCGATTTTGTCCACATTGTGTGGACATACTAGTTTGCTCGAATGGGTCTGATCCAATAAAAGGAGTATTGATTACAAAGTTCTTGGTGTCTGACGAGTCGATTGGATATACTAGTTAGCTAGACACTTCTAAACTAGTTTAAGTCAATATTCATAGTTTGATGCCGCATGTAAGAGGATGCTGATGTGGGTGGTATAATGGCTACACAAATTGGAACGGATTTTATGGCTGAGTATTGACCAGTACTGGCCCCTGCATAAGAGAGTGACCCTGACATGAATATAGTAGCCTAGCCTTTTTGACGAAAATGGGGGGATTAGTGGCATCTGGTATGAGCCCTGCATCGAAAGTTGACGATGACTTGCTCCGCCACTATCACTCGAGCGGGGTGAGCAGCCCGCAAACACAACTAACTACTCAACTGATCGTCAGCCTGACATCCTGCTAGCCTCGACCATCCACTTATTGGCTTCACATAGTGAAACAGTTGGGATGAGGGATTTTCAGCTATTCTTTGAATTCCGCAGTCGGCTGAACCTATAAGCAGGCACTCAATCCAAGCACACGAATTCGCGGTCATAGATGAGAGTGCGGATGGAAAAAAGATATACAGCCTAACTACCCTCCTCAATCTTGGGTCATTTTTCAATGACTATCAACAGGATACTTACCAGCTAGTATCCTTACATTGAGTCTCCGCAAGAAGGATCATCTTATAGATCTGATTCGAAGGACCCACGGGACCAGCTACTAGTAGACAGGTGGGTGGCCCCCACCCATAATGTCTAGGCATCAGACTAACTATAAGAGCCTCGTCTCACTTCCAGGCCCTCGATTCTGCTCCATTCAATTCTCAGTCAATAGCAGTCTCGTGTTATCGCTGCCATATTGCAACCATGACGAGTATTTTCCTGTTCTGCACCTCCAACGTGCCAGCAAACGTATGAAAGCCCTGCCTTGAGAGACTATGAAGCACGACTAACTTTTACTGTCACTATCAGACGATCAACCAATTCATGACAGAATTCGCCGACGCCAGCGAAGACCCAAACATCTTCTGTCTAGTCCGCACTCCCGACCAGGACCAGTTCGATGAATGGGGCACCGAACCACCCGTGCAAGACTTCACGACTGGCTTTGAAAACGCCTCTGATTCTGCTCTCCGCCTCTACACACAGAATCGAATCGATGAACTCAAGGATGCAGGCAAGGCCGGTGGGCTAACACCCGGATGGTTGGCTAAGCTTGATGAGCGATCCCGGCGCGACTCGACCGTGGTTCTGCAATACCGCAAGATCAAAGCCAACTGGGCACAGGCGTTGGAAGATGCTGAAGAGCAGTTCCAAATCCCCGGTCAGGCGGATGTTGATGATCAGAATATCTGGTGGAAGTGGCGTGTGCCATTTGCGGATGCTTTCCAGCTGTTTAACAGCGTCGATGGGGGTGTCCCGGATATGATTCGACTGTTTACCCGGCCAGAGTTTATGGACTCGGAGGGTGTGCTTCATGTGGATGTCCCACGTCAGATCATCAAGGGGGAGATTCCGGATCCCGTTACAGAGAGTGCAAGCTGAGGGTTTGCTGGTCTATCTCTCATCTCAACTAATTGCTTATCTTACCCCTGCCCATCTCCCAAAATCTTATGTAACAGAAATCGGCTATACAGTCGTCAACACACCCAAGACTCAATGGACGTGCTCCGTAGACTTAGATGGCCTTGATGGGAGTGGATGGTGTGACGTGACACAACTTTGTGGCTGACGTCCCAAGCCTTAAGTCGACATATGGCACTGTGGATTGCCACAAATCTCCAGCTTTGATAATAACTAAGCAATGCCTGTTTTAGTCGCTCCAATCCTAGGAAGCCCAACGTCTGTAAGCGATAGATGAGACTCATGATGAATATAAGCTGATTTAAGGGCGGTGATGATCTGCCAGCGATAAAATCCAACTTACCTCGATAGGCAGGCGGGGAGGGCGGCCTGGTGTGGCAGTAGCCCCACCACATTCCCGATGGGGAAATAACCTAGGGGGCGGCGGATCGCATTGAGGAGAACGGCGGAACCCGTGCCTAAACAGTAGATAGACTCAACCACAATCGGTCACATTTCAGCATATCATCATCATGGCGGACGCTCAATTCGATAGTGCGCTGTAAGTGTTATGGCTCTGTTTTTGTTTCAAGACTATGAAGCCTGCATAGCCTCTGGGTGCAATCATTCCACGCGGTCAACCCCGCTTGTTGCCTCCCGCTGACTATCATACCTGCTTCCAGGGACCTGCTCCGGCGCCTCAACCCCCGCGACACGAAGCAAAACCTCCAGGCAATCACCTCCATCGTTCCCGACCTGACCGAAGACCTGCTCTCCTCTGTCGATCAGCCTCTAGAAATCCGCAAGTGCCCCAAGACAGACCGCGACTACCTCCTCTGTGACTACAACCGCGACGGAGATAGCTATCGGTCGCCCTGGAGCAATGAATTCGATCCCCCGTTGGAAGACGGAACTGTTCCCAGTGAAAGAGTGAGAAAGCTTGAGGTCGCCGCCAACGAGGCTTTCGATGTCTACCGGGAGCTGTACTACGAGGGTGGAGTAGGCAGCGTGTACTTTTGGGACTTGGACGATGGATTCGCTGGCGTTATCCTATTGAAGAAGGGTGAGCGAGTGATGTCTTGATACTTTCAGGCTGGAAATACGTGCTGATATCTCGCCATTATAGGAGTTACGCCAGGTGCTAAGAGCTCTGGGGAGTGGGACAGTATCCACGTCTTCGAGGCTACCGACAGAGCGCGCATGTCCCACTACAAGCTGACTAGCACCGTCATCCTGCACTTGGCTAATGAAACTGAGGCTTTGGGTGAGATGGACCTGAGTGGTAACATGACCCGCCAAGGTGGAGGTGGATCTTCCCGTCGAGTCGGATGCGAGCCACGTCGCCAATGTTGGTCGACTTGTTGAGGACATGGAGTTGAAGATGAGGAACTTGCTGCGTATGTCTTTTTTCTTAGCTATTGTGGCGCGAGAGTTGTTACATTTCTGGGCTGCTTGCTAATTGAAATGTCCTTACAGAGGAGGTATACTTCGGCAAGGCTAAGGATGTCGTGGGTGAACTTCGGAGTAAGTGCAGTCTAACCAGCTGGTGGGCAATGCCAGACTAACAAGCGAAACAGGTCTCCCCTCCTTGTCCGAGTCGAACAGAGATCGGGCTACCCACCTGGAGATGATCCGGTCTATGCACAGCTAGTCGTCTGTTTGTCAGTTAAGGAAGCCATTATAGCGTCATTTTAGAGGCTGTTATTCATTTACATTTGTTGTATGTACTTCGAGCTCAAGGTTCCTGGGGATCCCAATATTACTCGTATACGATGAACTGCAAGTGCTATGCGATCGTATATTGTAAATACCGTACACTATGTGATGGCATGGCTAGCCATTACGACAATGAGCCCTTCATTATTATCAAGCAAAATCAATCGTCAAAACATTCAATATTTGGGTATCATAGGCTGTCCGCTTTGCTCCACCTGCAACCACATGGCAGAATACGGCATATAACTCCTGATAGTAGAGCAGTTACCATATTCGCCAAATAAAGGACCAAGCCATATCAAAATTTCGTAAATCATGCCACATCAATGGCGTCTAATCAACCTCCATCTTCTCCTGCTCGCTCTCTGTCTTCGCTCCCGAGCTCACAGACGCCGGATTGCTAATCCGCTCCACGAACTCCCTCGCAGCAGCCCACAACTCCGCTTCCTTATCCTTGCCCACCGTGTCCTTCCGACTGTTGAGCCAACTAACATCGAGCGGGTTCGACGATGCGCCCGCCACCCCGCCACTGCTCGCCCCGGGTAGATTTTCCGCTCTCGACGCTGTCTCCGGCGCAAGAATAGACGCCTCCTCCAGAGCATACACCTGACGACGGAGTCGAACGTCAATGGACGAAAGGAGGGCGAAGTATTGCGAAGTGGCCTCCTTGAAGCGGGCTTGGTGGGATGCGAGGGAGTTGTCCGAAGGTGACTCGCCCGACCGAGCGTTGGTCAGGGCTTGAATTGCAAGACCCGCGGAGTGAATTAGCTTGGCCACATCCTGTAGTAATTTGCGGAGATTAGTGAGGGTGGAATGAAGTCAATGACACAGCATAAATAATGTAGTAGCGTGGAAGTTGAGTATCCATCGCTAGCTAGGCAGCATTTCGGTGGTGTCGCGCGGGGAATTAATCCCGGCCTCTATTTCTTTTCTGTGAACTTACCTTGTCTATTTCGTTCAATTGCCGGATACGATCCGCTGATGTGAAGACTTGGTCTGGTTTGCGGGTGTCTTTGACGTCTGTCATATTGAATTGCTCTGAATTTCGTGTTTATGTTCCAGGCTGCCAGCAGAAGGAAGTACTAAGTAGAAGTGACAGGTAGAATTGGCGATGGAGTAACTACTTGATCTGGACCTGCGACCAACAAGCTCCGTCACGTGCTAACCCAACCCGGGGAACTCTGCTTACCTCAGCCGGGGCCCGACGCGCTAGTCCCGAAGAGCGATAGTGCGATATCAGAACTTCAAAACCTCCCGTGAATACTTGCGCGCCTCGTCCTGCCGTCACCCTGCTGTTACTTGCGACTCGCTATTTACCCCGTCTCATACGCTCACTCCTCTCTCTCCGTCTCTACGTCAGAGGCTACAGGTCGATCTGTAACTGATCGTTCAAGCGCAATGTCTGCGCCAGGCGGGGCCCCCAGCCCTGCTCCCCGAAGTGGAAGCATGGGGCCCGGTGGTGGCATGTCTATGCCTCCTCAGCAGCCCATGACCAACGCCGGGCCTGTCACTCCGGGTCCTCCTGCGCCTCCGCCGCCGCCTCCCGGAGGCCCGATGTCGCAGCAGAACTTAAATCAAATAGTAAGTCATTAAGTTATCTTGGAATATCTATGTTTGTTGTTGGGGTGTACTATGTTTCATTGCGTCATGTGCCTGTGGTCTGGATTGCGGTGATAAGGTGATGTGTTATTGTTGATACGTGCTATCCCGGTGTATACTTTACGTTCATGGCTTGTCTATGATTGCGAACTGTATCGCTTGTGATTCTTCTCTTTACCCAGTTAGAGGGTTATGGGGAATGGCTACGTTTGCTGTCGGGGCTTCGTCTCTATCATCCAATCTTTGCCGTTCCTCATGTCGGTCGTATATTGCTACTACTATGCATCATGCTTTCACCTTGGACATCAACGTTTGTACTAACGTGTTCCAGGTTATCGATTATCTTGCAAAGAAGGGCTATAGTCGTACGGAGGCTATGCTACGTATTGAGTCGGCACATCAAGAGATCGATGGCCGTCCTCCTATGCCCCCTCTTGGCGAAGATGCACGGCCTAAGTATAGGATGGGTTTTGGTATGTCCCTTCGGGCTTTGCTGATACGAAATAGTGCTAACCGTGCATAGACTTGCTCAAAGTCTGGGTTGAAGACAACTTGGATCTTTACAAGGTAAGAAGCAGAAGCCTGCTCACGTGTATCGGAACCATACTTACATCCTAAAGCCTGAATTGAGACGTGTTCTCTGGCCACTGTTCGTCTACACCTTCATTAATATGGTGTCTTCCTTCAAGCCACAAGACGCCAAGCAGTTCTTTGACCTCAACAAAAACCTCTTCCTGCCTGAGCACACAGAAGATGTGCGGGCATTGGAGCCGATCAGCCTGCCGGAGCACGTGCAGGCCAATTCAACCGCCAAGTTATATCGTACAAACAAGTACCGTTTAGTTCTCAGCAACCCCGCGTTTTCGAACCTCATGCAATTCCTGGAAAGCAAGCAGAAAGAGGGAGGCTCAGATATGACTGCCATCTTAAGCAGTTATTGCACTATCATCACCAAAGAGCGTACTGCAGATGATAGGTTCAGTTTCGCGGCGATGCTGGGCCAAACAGACGGTCAGACATTTCCCAGTGAAGACGAAGGCATTCCTGGGCACCATCCCGGACTCTGCATACACCGGAGACAACCCGAACATGGCGGGAACTCTGCCTAGGCTTAAGCTAGGAAAGCTTCCCCTGGAGCAAGCTCTTGAGACTGATGTTAGGGGCGAGCTGGCGGATGAAGATGCGAAGAACCCTCCAGGCCCGGGCCAGAACACTCTGATTCAAGAGTTTGACCAGATGATCAAGAAGGAAGAAGATGAAGAAGCTCCAACTCGTGCCGATATCCCCTATCCTCCGTCAACTGCTCGAGATGTGGCCATAGAGATTCAGAAGGTTAAGGAGAACCGCGACAGGTTCAGGATTGAGGGCAGAACTGGTGGCGTGGGTCCCGCTGTGAGCGTCTGCATGTTCACCTTCCATAACACCTATGATGGGTAGGTAGCATGGACTCCTTGGTACTAGATCTTGACTAACAACCAACAGAATCAACTGCTTGGACTTTTCGGATGATCTTATGCTCGTCGCAGCTGGTATGCAGGAGTCATACATCCGGGTCTGGAGCATGGATGGCAAGAAAATACAATCGACCTACGACAACGTGGATGATGCTCCACCTTCGAACTCCCGCCGTCTAATCGGACACTCCGGGCCGGTCTACGCGGTGGCATTTGCACCATCGATTACCAAGACAGACAATGCCATGGCCCCGACGAACGCTCGCTGGCTGCTTTCGTCGTCTGCAGACAAGACCATTCGTCTCTGGTCCTTAGACCTCTGGCAGTGTATGGTAGTCTATAAGGGCCACGACCAGCCGGTTTGGGACCTTCAGTGGGGCCCCTACGGCCATTACTTCGTTTCTGGTGGACACGACAAGACTGCCCGCCTTTGGGTTACGGATCATATCCGCCAACAGCGTATTTTTGTCGGACACGACCAAGACGTCGACTGCATCTGCTTCCACCCCAACTCGGCGTACGTCTTCACCGGTAGCTCCGACCATACAGTCCGCATGTGGGCCGTTACCACCGGAAATGCGGTCCGTATGTTCACCGGACACACTGGCAACATCACTGCCTTGGCATGCAGTCGTGACGGAAAGCTCCTCGCCTCGGCAGATGACCACGGATCCATCCTGCTGTGGGACCTTGCTCCTGGCCGACTTCTCAAGCGCATGCGCGGTCACGGAAAGGGCGGGATCTGGTCCCTGAGCTGGAGCGTCGAATCAACGGTTCTAGTATCCGGAGGTGCTGATGGCACTGTCCGCGTGTGGGATGTGACGGGCCCCGCTCAAGATCCCTCCCAGGGCCGTGTCGTCGGCGAGGGCGGCGCAGGCACCAAGGTCGATGGCAGCAACCAGCCAGCACCCAGCACTGCGCAAACTTCAAGCGCGGTCGCCCCGGGTATGGGCAAGAAGAAGGGCAAGGATGTAGTGGTGACGCCCGACCAGATCAGTGCTTTTCCTACAAAGAAGAGCCCTGTCTACAAGGTGAAATTTACGAATATGAATTTGATCATTGCTGGGGGCGCCTATCTTCCTTGAGTGAGGAACATGTATGCAACAGCGCCAGATACCCTTTATTCCTTTTCTTTCTTTCCGCATTGATCTATATCATCTTTCTGTTCTTCGTTTAATACGATATCCTGTCTTTTTATCCATACGTGTGGCAGGATACTCGATGGCATGTGGCGTCTTGGGGGCATTGACGGTGGGCATTGGTGTTGGTGGCGGCATTGTATTTAATCAGGGATGGAATGATCCTACTACTAGTTGCTACTTATCATTCCAAACACTCAATACAGCTATCACTATGAAACAGCACTTACTTCCTACGTGCATCATCGTCTTATACAGCGGGAAAATGCAGTATAGACCTATATTCAACATCTAGTTTACTATATCATATGATCATATCTTCTTAAACAACCCTCCAGCTCCAGCACCACTCCCAGCCCCCTTCTTCATCGCCGCCGAAGCCTGCAAATCCGCCACCTTAGGCGGCAGAACCAACGCACTGCGATCATTCCTCTTATAAAAGTCTACCAAAATCTGCGCCGTCTTGGCCGGTTGATCTTCCTGTATAAAGTGGCCTGCTTCTGGCAGGACTTGTAGTTGATATTTACCTGCAGAATCAATACCATCAATATCAGCACATAACTCACAGTAACACGGTGTCAAAGCAACTAAATTAAATAACAAGAGTGGAATGGAAGTATACGCACCTTGCATCTGCCCAATCATCAACTCTTTATCGAGACGATCCGTCCCCGCTAAAAGGAGTAACTTCCCACCACGAGCATCGAGGAACTTGCGATTTAAACCGACGAACCAGTTCTCCCAGAAGGGTTTCGTGGCGGAGAGATTGGTTCGCCAGATCCATGGTTTGGTGGGGTCGGGTGAATTGGGGTCTTCGTAGAGGAGGGAGGGAACGGAGACGCGGGCGGAGGTTTTGTTGCGGATTGTGCGGGAGCGGGTGCTTTGGGATTCGTTTAGTATATTTGCGTGGGGGGCGTTAATAAAGGGATTGGGAGAGCTTACTGCCATTCTATCCCCGAAGTGATGGATGGGAAGCGTGATGGGCGGGTCATGAGATAGGTTTCCATGCTTTGGAGGGCGTCCATAGCAGATCCTGTTATTTTCTGTTAGTGTTTTCTGCTTGTAGTTTGCTTATTGGGGGTGAACTAGCTTACCCTCTACAACATCCAAAACTGCATATGCTAGTACTTTGCTTCCCAATTCACCCTGTCTGGCCACATCGGTGATTACCGCACCACCTAGACTATGGCCGACAAGAATCAGATCAGGAAGATTCTCCCAGCCCATTCGGGTCTGGGTCTCGCGGACCACGAATACTAGGTCCCGGTTCAGGGTCTCGAGGCTTAGATCTAGCTCGATGCTCCCGTCGCCGTCCTCGCCTGAGGCGAGAGTGACTTCCGTGCTGCCGTGATCGCGCGCATCTATGGACAAGATGCCGGCTTTGGGGATGATCTTGCGGATCTCGCCGGCGCATGCGGCGAAGGATAGACCGGATGAACCGGCGCCGTGGTGCATGACGAAGAGGGGACTGGAGGAGTCTGCTGGGGGTGTGAGGTAGACATGGTGAGTGATCTTAGTGTTGTTAGATGTGTCTATTTGTGTAAGATAGAGCTCCTGGGTGAAGTAGTCTGTCCAGGGAAGGGTTGTTTGTTGGACGGATCTGATAAGTGTGTTAGTTTCATGATGGCTGAAATACTTTATTGGTATGCGGGGTAAAAGGTGAGAGGGTATACACACCCTCGTCCTGGCCTTGCGAACAGTTGTCTACTGGGTGAGGGAACTACTGTCCCTGTAGATGAGGTCGAGGAAGAGTCATCATCGTGACTGACCTCCTCGTCGAGGGATTGCATGGACGGCCCGGTTGGCGGTTGGAGAGGCAGCTTGGCCAGTCTAGACTTGGCAAAGGATTTTTGCAGCTCGCTCATGAAGGCTGCGCGGGTTGACTGGGTAGATGGGCGAATGGGGTTGTGGATAGAATCAACTCTAGGATTGGAGGCGTGGATGTTGACATTGGAGAGGAGCTTGAGTCGGGAGTTTGGACTGGAGCTGGCGAGTGGATCATGCGGTTGATGGAGGGGATGTTTAGTGGCGGGTGAGTATATCTGGAGGGGAATGATAGGCGTATGTGCCGTGGGCGGCCACTATAGACTAGACACGATTTTTGTGGATTGAATAGAGATTCATATGTCACGGTATATATTGTGTCGGAAGTATATGAGTCTATAGAAGGATAAGTCGACGGTAGTATGGGTTTGCTGCATCCCACAATGGCTGATACCTTCCATACCGTATCGTATTGTCTGATGATACTTGATGGTATTTTGCAGATCTGCTGAAGTGAAGAGTGGAGAGTTCATGCCACATTATTTCCAGGAATCCCTGCTTCCGGTGGGTCTTTGATCTTATCAAATGGGGTCTATTTGAGTGCAACTGATTTTTTATCCACTATTATGCTCTATTTTATGGTCTAGATACTTTGTGATATAGAAGAGGGATTCCCCACGGTGCGGCAGGTCAGCTGACCGGGCGTGTGCCTGATGGATCGACGCGCTAATCGTGAAACTTCCTTCTTGTACTCTTTCTTACTCTGTGGATGTCTCCTCTCCTACTATACATTCAAGAGAATTGTCTTTTCCCACCATGCACCTATCCCTTGCAATTCCAGGCCTGACCGTCTATTGTCTCACCTACTCATCCCTGCCATTGACTCTCCATTCTGCTCCAGCAGATGGCGGTGGTGGTTGTCCATGACGGTGACATAAGCCTGCCGTGACGTCACGGCTGAGCATTGCCGCCAGCCAAATTCCAGCCGGTGATGCTCGCAACCATCATGGATCCCTTCTTGTGTTGCTTTTGGGGCCCTGCCGGTTCCACTATCCAGCAATTGCCATACCGTGACGTCAGCATCTGCCTCATGACTCTCCATCGGCATCCCGATATCTCTGTCGCGCCTTCATTTCTTATCTCGACCCATCTGTCCCCCCGCACCCATCTTTCTATAGTGCACCAGGGTGAAGAAAAGCACAATGGTGTCCCTTAAGTTTAGACGAAGCGACGAGTCCGACAGGACCGGTGAGCAGCGCGACCGAGAGGATGAGCGACGACACGACGAGCCGGATGAGCGTACACGACTGCTCCCGCGCGAGCCCCCGGCCTATCTGAGCCCCGATGATCCTGCTGTGAGTTTCGCATAGAAACACTCCCTTCGCTTGGAAGATGGCTAACACCAGGCTCTGTAGGTCTCTCCCTACAATCTCTGGGGCATACGAGCCCTGCGAGGCCTCTCCTCCCTCTTCCTCGCCATTAGCTTCATCTGGTGGACCTTTCTTCTCGTCTCCCTTTTCGTCAGTCCACCCATGATGCACTCGCGCGGATCCGGATTCTTCAGTTTCGCCTATACCACTCTGACAACCGGATATCTTCTTCTCGGGCTCCTATTCTTCGCTATCCCGTCCAAACCCATGTCCGTGTCCGGAATTATCATCGCCATCTTCCTCCTCATTGACATGATCCTCACTCTAGCCGTCCCTCGCATTCGGCTTGAAGAAGGCTGGGTGGGAGTTGCATCGGTAGTCTGGGCGGCCTTCATCTCTCTCTATACAATTGCTCAGAACCACTCCGTGGCTTGGGGTAAGCGGGAGGAAGAAGAGCGCCTGACAGGGCGGCCGGAAACCCGCCGTCCCCTGCGCGAATGGGTCGCTGTTCTCATTCAAACTGTCTTCCTGGTCATCTTCGCCATCATTGTCGTCCTGTTTACCGCCACCCTGATTCTTCGCGCCCGCGACGCATCTCTCCCCGCTCCCGGCAAGAAATACTACGTCAACGGCGACAGCTACCAAGTTCACCTTCACTGCGTCGGTAACACTACCCACAGTCTCCAGAATGACATGCCGACGATCCTCATTGAAGGCGGAGACTGGCCCGTCGAACATACTCTACAGCCCTTCATCCATGATGCATACCAGTCCGGTCTCGTCCCTCGCTACTGCTACTGGGATCGTCCCGGTTTCGGCTGGTCTGACAACGCTCCTTCCCCCTTCTCCGCCGGCATGGCAGCAGACGCCCTATCCGAAGCACTCGCTCTCGCCGGCGAAGAGGGTCCCTGGATCCTCGTCTCCGCCAGCGTTGGCGGCATCTACAGCCGCATCTTCGCTAGTCGTCACCTGCTCGAGGTTTCCGGGATTCTTCTTATCGACAGTCTTCACGAAGACTACCTCAGTAACATCGGCTCCCCCGGCCGCGGCTTCACCCTTTGGCTTCGCGGCGTCTTCTCCCCGCTGGGACTGGACCGTATCGCCGGTGCCATTTTCAAGGGACGCACGCGCGAAGACCGCGTCTACGGGCGCAGCTCTTACCAAACGGGGAAGGTTGTCAAGGCGAAACTACAGGAGAACCTCGTTGCTGAGTCGATGACCTCCTCGGAGATCCAGACTGCCAGACACGTCCAGATGGCGGATACGCCACTCGTGGTGATTAGCTCAGGTGTCGAGGTGCGGAAGAGCGAGAAGTGGGCGAAGAGACAGGAGGAGTTGACGAAAATTACGAAGAATCTCAAGAACTTCGATATTGTGAAGGGTGCGCCGCACGAGGTTTGGCGGGATGTGGAGGGGAGGAGAGTTATTGAGAAGAGATTGGGTGAATTAATTGGAAAGGATGAGTAGGAACTGTATCTTCTTAACATCATTTCTGGCCTTCTTTTTCTTCTTTTCTCTCATATTGTGTTTGTTTTCGTCTTTCCCTTTTCGGCTCATTTTATTTCTCTGCCGCTACCGTCTCTCCACTTATCTATCTATTCCCCTGTTTATTACTCCGACATAACCTTTTGAAAATTGTCATGAATTTACGAAATTGACGACACATTACGCCCTTACTTTTTTTTCCCCATACTGTACGATATGTACTATATGATACGTACTCAGCTCAACTAGTTTATATATTTTTCAAGTAACCTGATCATCCCGAGAATACGGCATTGATATATGATATTGATGGTAGATGCAGGTGTGTAATATCCACGTATAGATCATATTCACGTGGTTTGAATGTACCATGCTATACTTCGTAGATATATCCCCGATTTCGCCGGCTCCCCCTTTCCCTTTCCTTGCGTCCCTCCGTACCGTTCCGTTCCTTCTTTCCCTTGCCCTTCCTCCCGGCCCGTCCTCCGCTTAGGTACAACGTGTGCGGCACGGACAAACGCTTGTATATGTATTGGAAGTAGGTGATCGAGATAGGATGGTGCTGATTGAGACTTTTTGAGGTTGAAGTTGAGATGATGGAGCCCGAGACACAGAGTGGTAGTAGACAGGCAGAAAGAGATAGAGAGATAGATAGACGGAGGGAGATTTGGTAATAGGTGGGATTCGGTAAATCGGGCTAGTCAACAAAAAAGTTCATTCTAGACTAGCTCCCTTAAACCTCTTAGCAAGACGTTCACTTTCAGATTTGGGAGACTCGGGCCTGAGATGAGAGGAGGAAGAGGAGGAGGGGAGGGAACGTTTTCCGGGGTTGTAGGGCACTGAACGTGGCGGGTAAGGCTCGGGTGTGGGCAGCCAGGGGCGCTTAGGGGGGCGCTCACCACTTTCCTGAAGAATGGTCACCAGGGTAGCCCATCCAGGGGTGTTGATCAGCTGCAGGCCATCTGCGGGGGCACGTTGCGTCGCGACGCGGCAGAGTAGTGCTTCTTCGTCCTGTGAGAAGGTGGGTGGGTTTGGTTAGGAGGGTTTGTTCCTGAATGGAAGAAAGTCATGTAGGCAATGAGGGTTTACCTTGTTGAATGTCGACAGGGAATGCAGGAAGCACAGCATATGGAAGTCCGAGACGGCTTGGATCGCTTTGTCCGGGTCGCCGTGGGTCACTAGCTTCTTCGCCACGTGGACGAGCTCCTGGCTCTCGCCGATGACTTCGCGGTTCTCGATGGGGAAGCTGCTGTCGGTGAATAGAGGAGAGGCGTCCGTTGGGAAACCGTGTGTCAAGGTGACCAGGAGGTACTCAACGGGGAAGCTGGGTTTGGCGTTCTGCTGAGCGCTGACGCCGTACTCGTTGATCTTGCGATAGAAGACCTCGGGGATATACCGCGACTTGTTCTCGGTGTCGTCGTCCTCGGATTGCACCAGCATGACCGAGGGTTCCGCCGATGGTTCGACAATGTCCGCGCGGACCATCTCAACGGCGGCTACTGACGCCTGGTAAGCACTGACTGAAATGGCGCCCTCCTCGTCGCCACTCAGCACACAGGTGACAAAATTCGAGCCGAAGCGGCCTGTCCGGCTCCATTTCGTGGCCTTGGGGTGTTGCGCTTGCATCCGCGCTGCAAAAGCGATCTCTAAGGAGGACAGATAGTAGGAGTCGATGTGTCGTTTGCAAATTACCGAACCGTCTCCACGACCCGCGTCCAGTAGGTCGGTAAAGATCACGCCAATCCTCTCCAAACCACAGAGATGTGCGACCTCGTCCACCTCCTTCTCGTTGGGCCATTCATGGAGCGTAACTCCATCCACCTCATCCACTTGTGGTGGCTCATAGATGGCCTGGACCACGGCCTTTACGCCCAGCGGAACCTCCTTATACTCCTCATAGGTACCGTAGAGAAACCCTAACCGCTGAGCGCCCGACTTCCGCCAAAAGTCGAGCAACGAATTAATGAGATCCGGCGAGGAGAACTCCACATGGTCCACCATCCGGAACTCTTGCGGCTGCAGACTGATCGCGCTCGGCTGGCACTTGGTGCAAATACCCTCCGGCCACTGCGGGTGTCCAGAGGGACAGTCTCGCCGTACTCGGTAATACGGCTCACTGAGCGGGGGCATGAACGAGCTGTTGAGTTCGGCTTTGTTGGTAGAGGCGTTGATTTTCCGCAGATACGAATGAAACGAGAGGTGCTTGATCTTCTTCTCCGCCAAATACTTGGGGTCGTAAGGCTCGAGCGGCATGCAGTAGTCGCACATTCCCTTGGGCCCGTGTCGGCAGAACTTCGTATCGAGGCCTCGCTTTATCTTCCCATCCTTCTTATCCAACATATCATCTAGCGGCGATTGCTGCACCACGTCCCAAGGGTTCTTGATTGTGGCTGTGGGTGAGGTCGGTTGTGGGGGGCGGAAGGTTACTGTTTCGCTTTGGGGCACAGGAGCTCCATTTAGACGTCGCGAAGCGTCACCTGCGCTGGGGGTTATATGGCCGTTGGCTGTGCCATTCTGCTGTCCTTGGTTTTCTTGATACCCGATGAAGAGCTTATCGCCGTGCCTGACAGGAAGGAACCGAGTAGTGTTAGTGGCTGTGACAGGTAACCTAGATCGGCGCCTAATCTATTAACATGCAGGCCTCGACTCACTTGAGACCAACTTTGTCGAAACCCACGCCATCTAAGCTGTTGAGGAGTCTCTCCTCACCACCGGTGCCGATGGGGCGGTTGGAGAGGGTGATGGAAGAGGGATCGACGTTCGGAGGGAGACGCTCTAGGATCTAGAAGAGCAATATAAGCACTCGTTCGAGCTTTCCAGTGCTATGCCATGAGGCATGGGATACACACCTGTGGCTGCAGAGACGGGAATAGGTCTTGCGGGTTGACCGTCAACCGGAACTGGCCGTTGCGGCTTTCGAACCTCAGTACGATCGGGCGTGATGCCATGGTGGTGACACCCTAGAAAGAAGGGAATGGACGAAATAGAGAGGTTGTATCAATATTTGCGCAGCTTCAGTAACTCATCAGACTCATCAGATCATGGCCGAGACGTGGGGGGGAATGAAGAAAGAAGAGTTGAGGCGAGAGAGAGAGTTGAAGAGAGCTTGGAGGAGAGCCGAAGAAGGCGGCAGCGGAGCTCTATCGTCATTGCACCCCGTTACCGCCTGGTACCACCCCGCCGTTTCTTCTCCGCTGACAAATGGTGTATCTTTGGTAATCCAGATACTTCCGTCTTCCAAGGGTTCCATAGATCATTCATGACTACATAGATCATCTACAGCACATCCTGTAAGTCAAGTATTATAGATTTATAGATGTAGTTTATTTATTATGATTCTGTTCTAAGTATATTATGGGAATAGCATCACAAGAACAAGAAACCTAATCCTCCGAATTAAACGCCAGTATCCAAACCAACCCGGTCAAAGCAAAGCAAGGCACGAATGAAACTGCAGGGTATCAAGAGAAATCCGATTTACATGATGGTGCACTTCTTAGGCAAACCACATGGTCCCTCGTTACTCTTGTCTGCATCACTCGCTCCCTGAGTGCCCTGGCCGTTTTTGGCTGGCGCAGGCTGGGATTTCGGAGTCTGAGTCGTCTGTTTTTGCGACGCTGCTGCGGCCGCCGCAGGTTGCGACTCCGACTTGGCCTGCTCACTACCATGCAGTCAAGCGAAGTTGTGGGCAGCAACGTGCTCGTAGAAGGCCTTGCCCTGGGTCTCAGCAACCTCGAGCTCGAGAGCAGAGGGCTGGCGGGAACCATCGGCACCCTGTAGGGAAACTTTATCAGTATGTTGTCGCAGACAGAAATGGTCCGGGATCGGTGTAAGTAGGAAAACTTACGGCAAAGGTACCAGCACCCCAGGCGCTACCACCGTGGACCTCATTGAGGTTGGACAGCTGGGCAAAGACGGTCTTGTAGCCGAGAGGAACGTAGACGAAACCGTGGTGGGCGAGAGTGCTCATGGCAGCAAGGCAGGTAGATTCCTGGCCACCACCCTGGGTGCCGGTGGAAACGAAGAGACCGGCGTACTTGCCCCAGTAACCACCGGAGGCCCAGATAGCACCAGTGCGGTCCCAGAAGGCCTTCCACTGGGCGGGGAAGTTACCGTAGCGAGTGGGGATACCGAACAGGACGGCGTCGTACTCAAGGAGAGTGTTGGCTTCGGCAACGGGGTAGCTGGACTTGGGGGGAGCGTGCATCTTGGCCAGAACATCGTCGGAGAGGGTCTCAGCGATCCTAGAAGGATTATGTTAGTCACCGTGACAAGTGCAATTGGCTCAATTGCAGCCATTGACATACTGGAAGATGTCGGCGGAACCGCCAGCAGCCTCAATACCCTTCTTCTCAGCCTCGGCCAGCTTGAGGATGTGGCCGTACATGGAGTACTATGATTAATTGGCACATTAGTCATGCGGGTTTTCCAACTGGTGAAGTCACAACACGGTGGAGTATCACTCACGAAGACGATAGCAATCTTGGGAGCCATGGTGATGGTGGGGTGGTGGGGTGAACCTGGCGGGTAAAGAGAGAGAGAAGGAAAGCACAGAAGAAGGAAGAGACTTTTATCAAGAAGGTTGCTTCTGGAGAAGAAAAGAAAAAAACAAGCAAATGGATCCGGTCATGGTGGCCAGACTTTATAGCCTCGAGGGGGGAGGAGGGAGGTGGGGGGAAAGGTACTGTGCTTGAGAAGCTCCGCAACTCAAAGCAGCTTCTTCTCACTCAGCGTTTGGCAAGCATCCGTAATCGATTACTTACTACGACCGTTCGCCTGTTCCCGTAGGGGCCCTGTCTGCCCGGGCGCGATGATTGGTGTCGAGGTACCTAAAAGTGGAATTCCAGAGCCACTCATCGTGCGTGCCATCCAATCAACCGCGATAGTGGAGCCTTACGGATCATTGACAAATGGAGCTCGGATGAACTCGACTGGCGCTGAACGATCTCTTATTCACCATCTCATAAGCTCCCTCCTCTCCTCCCCGTGGGAACAGATATGGGGACTCTTTTGGCGGCACGGGTTTGATCCCTCCTCCTTTCGGGAACTGGAGCTCCCTAGCGAAGATTAGACGATAATATTGACAAGCTACTTTCTCATTTCCCAGTCGCTAGAGGAATCTGTCTGTTCTGTGGTCTGATAGTCATGATGTCATCTGGATAGCACCTTATCACTGTCGGCTAACGCAATGTCTCTCACATTTCTGCCCTGGGATAACTGTCTCTCTTTGTTTCTAGGGGTTGCTGCTGACCCTCAATTGACGCTATCTACACAGTATCTACTATCTAGTTGGCAGTTGAGAAGCGGCAATCCGTGCACGGTCTGGCTAGACCCTATATCGACCCCCGTTCCCGGCGCCATGTTAGATTGCCCCGATGTCTATAGCAGACACCATATACCCAATCACACAATTGAAGCTCCAGCTCTGCTTCTTCTTCCATTTTATTACATTCATTCATCTATCTACCTACCATGTATCCTCTGATACACAATAAAGAGACATCTAAGATGCAACCATGATAGATTCAACCGTGTAAAATAAAGCGTAAACATGCCTCTCAGCTGGGTATCTCGACGATTCTGTAAACACAAATCTGCAAAACAAACACAACCAACCCTATTCCTTTTATCATCATCAACTTCTTCTTCTTCTTCTTTCTCTACTGTCCACGTCCACGCCCCCGGTACCGACCCCGCATGAACCCCCCACCACGACCACGCTCACTCCTCCACTCCCTCTCACGCTCCTTCTCCTTCTCCTGTTCCTCCCGAATTAACGCCCGTTCCCGTTCCAGCTCTTCTTCGGTCTTCTCGACCCGGATCTGCGGACGGGGAAGGTTCTCCGACCACCGGGGGTGAGCATCCACGCAGGCCTTGCCGTCCGGACAGAACCCAGCCAAGTAGTATTGACACAAGCGCCGACGAACATGCCGCTTGGCACACAGGGGTCCCAGCTCGCAGAATCCCCGGTCGTAGTGTTCACAAGGGGGCAGACGCGCCTGCTCCCGCACGTGCTGATACAGGCAGTCATCGCCATTGGGACAATAGCCGGACCGCGAGAAGGACTGGCATTCGGGCATGCGACGGAGGTTGTATTCATGAAGATACTCGCACTTGAGACCCTTTTTGCAGAGTCCCTTGAGGAAATGTTTACAGACCAGAGATCCATGTGTGGTTGATGGTGCTAGTCCCGACGCGGTGGTGGTCGACGTGGTGACACGCGATGGGGTTGGGTGGCGATCGGGACAGGCTGGTCCTAGAGGGCAGTGGCCTTCGCTGTAGGCTTTGCAGACGGGCACATCACTGGCAAGGCCGAAGCCATAGCTCTGGCGGAGGAAGGGTACGAAGGAGAACTCATCATAGCTCGGGTCGCGGGGGCTGTTGGAGGTGAGCACGCGTGATGCTGCATGGCTCACGTCCGCCGTCATGGTGATTGGTTTGGGGTTGGACGACAAGAGGGTAGAAAGGATGGAGTCGAGGTAGGAGCAGGAGCTTTTCGCTCGTCGACACGTTTGAGCGGAGGCCCTTGCTTTGTTTGCAGTCAATCAGATAACTAAGATGGGCTAGGATATAGACCCGATTAATGCCCTATTGCCTTGCAAAGTGATTGGCAACCTCAGACACTGAGCATATGGAAGAAAATGGTCTTGAAGAACGATGAATGATCAGTCTGCATCGTATGAGTCCAGGAAAGCGACTCCTAGCCTTGAAAGGGCAGTATGTTGAAAGAGGCAGGCGGTGGCAAATTTAACATGCTTATTCAGCAATCTCATCGTGGAAGTCCATCGAACCATGTAAACTGGCGGTAGAACGCATGAAAGGAGCAGAAGAAGGTAATCCGTAGAGCATCTAGTTACTTCTACAGTGAGATCGGGCTGTCCAAAAGGGATCCTCGTCGATGCTTATTCCCCGCCCTTGTTTGGGCACAGTCAGCCATCCATGCTGCAGCGAGACGCACCCCGTCTTTCCTTGATGGTTGACGGCAGCCTGGGGGGAGCGCCGGGCCCAGTTGCAGCAGGCCAATGGGTACGTTTCCCAAGCGCGGGCAAGCCTGGCTGCCCCTGCATACGAGCATTCCTACGACTTACGAGATCACATGGTCCGTTGCTTGATGGGTCTGACGCCCGACTCCCTGCTCGACTGTGAGAAGGATGCATGTTGTACGGTGTAACTTGGGACTAGGGAACAGCCCGGGGAGTAACCCAGTTCCGATGGACAGCACAATCGGAATGCTTTCATGCTTCTTCCTCCCAATTTTTTCCCCTATCTTCTTGATTTTCTTCGTAGTGAATGACTTTAACAACAATACCGGTGCGGTTGTCGGCGCTCTGGAGCGGCTCCTGTCGCTGGCGAGTAACACGCCGGAGAAAAAGTGTACTTGACGCTAAGAACCCGAGGATTGTCTCACCCCTCCTCGTTCTCGGTGCCTATTCGCTCGGGGATCAGATGCACATCCAATATGGGGTGAAAGGTTCTCCCACTCAGCATCAAGGTAATTGAGTCGCGGTCCTTCATGCGGGGATGGGGCGTCACTAGTCCTACAGGTTAGTCGTCCGCGGCTGCGTCTCCCCCACTACCAACATTTCCCTCAGACGAGGATGCAAAAGGGAAATAAATAAGAAAAAAAAGCAACGACGGTGGGAACTCTAACTGCAGCCATAAGAAAATAGTGGGCAAGAACTGCATTTTCCAACCCAGTCGATCCCCCAGTCCGATCCGGAACAACCGAGCGAATACTTCATGAGGATTACTGAGCATCTCCCCCATAGTGGCCAATCGCTGCAATGCTGATACATCCCGGCATTTGCTCTGGGTATATTGCATCAGCAGTCGATCGCTGAATTGACCTCTCCTCAGTCGCCTTCAACTCAATAGTCCCGTGCGACGAGTCTATAATCTCGTCGCGAGGTATTCGGATTTGGGAGAAAAAGAGGCTTGGTAATCGACGCCACTGTCATTGGATTTTTGGAGGGTCTCGAAGCACCAGGATCTCACCGGAGAGTATCGAGAGGGTAAGAACTGGGCCTTAAAACAAACCTTAGCAGGCCGCGTCCTCTGGCCGGTACACCAGATGAAGGGGGAGAACGTTCCGGGGCGGCCAATAATGATCAACACGATCGCTTGATCTGCTCCTCCGACCTGGGAACCTGGGACAGCAAAAGGCGGGGTGACAACGTTTGGACCGTGTCTGGGGCTGTGGCTGGTCATCATCAGATGCTCCCATAGTCGGACGTTGATCTGATTGACCAGCCCAGGCCACTGCTGATGGAGGAGGGGGGACCGACCGAAATAGGCCCCTAACCTTAGCAGCCTGCATGACAAAGCTGCATAGGATGTTGCCTGCAAATTGGCCGCATTGCAACCCTAGAGACGAGAATACGTGAGTAGTACGTGGTAGGGTGCAGGGAAGGGTAGTTGTAGAAAAGCCAAGTACCTGGATCATGGAAAGAGTGGGATGATACTGATGTAGCCACTGCGTCGGGTCAGCTCAAGTGGTTGTACGTGGTTTGGGCCGGAGGAACGACAGAAGCAGCTTTCGTTGTTGTTGTTGTCGTCGTCGTTGTTGCTGATGCTGATGCTGTTGGTTCATCCTGGTTGCCTTCTTTCCTTCCTGCCAGTCCATCCATCATCAGTTCCGTTGCAGTGTCTCTCTCCTCCCGTTGCTCCTGCTGCTTCTGCTGCAGATCAAAGGGTTTAAATTGCTCAAGACCTCAGCGGAGAAAAAAAGAAAATATCACTGCCACACTAATCGTACGATCACTTACCTTCTCCAAACTCGCGTGGGGGAAGCAAATCAAAAAGTCCCTAAATCGCATCGCCAGACCAACAGGCACTCCCACACGTGACGCTGGCTATTCTGGGGCTTGTTCCATCTTTAATCCTCGCATCACGATCTTAAGCTTATTTTTGTTTGTATTTCGACCTCACATCCTGGTCTTCAGAGAGCCAATCTTTCCCCCTCTAGTTCTACTGCACCCTGGTTTCCCTCCCCCCTCACCACTACCGGTCATGTTCTCCGGCTCCTCCCTCTTTCCGCACTGGCGGCGCAAAGCAGCCGAACGCTCCAGTAATAGTTCCTACGAGGTGCCCTTCTTCCTGAACGCTGCCTATTATCCCAATTGGAGGATATACCGGAAACAGCCTCCGTCGGCCCTTCGATTGGGCTTCATTTCTCATATCTTCTACGCGTTTGCATGGTACTAGTAACCTCAAGTCGGCACCATGCTGATGGTCCCAGTCCATACCCAGAGACAGTTGTTAACCAGCCTGCTTTTCTCGTTCATAGGGTCAAAGAAGATGGTACCGTTTATGTAACCAGTCCTCTCTCCCCATTGTGAGGGGCTGCTCTGGCTGACAAGACATGACTTCAAAACCAGCTTAGTGACGAATGGGCCGATGCGCAAATGCCCGTCGACGGCACCAACGGCTGCCTGCGGGCCTTCGCGCAACTGAAGCCGCAGTATTCCAAGATGAAACTCATTCTCTCAGTCGGAGGAGGCGGCAAGGGCAGTGAGAACTTCGCCCAAGTGGCCCGCAGTCAATCCCGCACCGAGACGTTTGTTCGGAGCGCGAGAGCACTGGTGGATCAATTTGGTCTGGACGGCATCGACGGTACGTGTAATGGAGCCGAGCCCCTCTCCCCTTATCATCATGGATGCGTCATGTCGGTATAGTGAACAGAAAATAAGGTAAAATTGTGTGCATACCCTAAGGCTAACCAACCTTGTGCTGGCCCAACAGTGGATTGGGAATACCCCTCCGACCCACAAGAAGGATCGGACTATATCCGTCTGCTGGCGCGACTGCGCGAAGTCCTGCCGGCCCCGCGTTATGTTCTGGCCTCTTGTCTCCCGGCCGGACCATGGGCTCTCCGTAACATCGATCTTTCCAAGGCGCAACTCTATCTTGACCTGATCAATATCATGGCGTATGATTTCTCGGGCCCTTGGGAGAACCAGTCGGGTCATCAGGCCCAGCTCTTCAGCAAGCATCCCGCAGCCATTTCATGCCAAAACTCTATCTCGTACGTGCTCAACCAGGGCGTCGACCCCAAGAAGCTCCTTCTGGGCATCCCCGCATACGGCCGCTCGTTCCTGGGTAGCACTGGAGTTGGTCAGCGGTATGTAGGCTGTGGCGGTGAAGACGGCGTCTTCGACTATAGCCAGCTGCCGCGACCGGGAGCCAAGGAGCATCACGACAGCAGTCTGGGGGCAGCATACTGCGTAGGGGGAGATGGCGGCTTCGTCACATATGACACACCCCAGACAGTGCAGCAGAAGGCGAAATTCGTCACAAAGATGAAGCTGGGCGGGTTATTCTACTGGCATATTGGAGGCGACGCACGGGGACCGCGAAAGTCTGATTGAAACAGGGTATAACACATTGCATGATATGTAATTTCCTTCTATTCCACTGTCAGTATATTCAAGGTTAGGCTGGACTTTATTTTTGTCAAAGGAGGGCAGAAGAAAGATGATGAAAAGAAAGATTAAAAAGTTATACCAGGGGAGAAATTCAAAAGGAGGCACACGTGACATTCTGTTTGTTTAGCCATTGTTATCCTGATTGATCAAAAGAGAGAGAGAGAGAAACAGAAAATAAAAAGTACGACATTCTTATGGCTTATTTGGAACAAACAAATTATCTCGCTTAAGCATCCCAGCCGGGGAAAGATGAGACAATCGTTGCACTTATTGATAAGCCCCTCCCTTTTCATAGGGGGGTGGTTTCACCATGTAGGTAGTATGCAGCAAAGCAACGTCTGTGCATCCGCGACTATTGTTTATTAAGCTATTCATCCATTCATAGTTATCATTCTTTGTTCCACCCTTTTATTTCTAGTCATCATAAAAGTTCTATATAAGAGCAACAAAACGTTAGATGATTATATCATAGATTATTACATACACTAATACTATACTAGATAAAAGTTACCTACCTAACTACCAACGAGGACACAAGTCCAGCTCCCATCCATCCATCCATTCATCCATCCATATATAAAAGCACATGGGAATCACAACATCATCGTAAGCAGTAAGTTAGCCATATATAAACAAAGAACAAACCATCAACCCCTCCCACATAACACATATGTCTCATTTATATCCCACAAACAAGAGGATATAGAATCCGTCAGTCCGTTAAACAAAATTACAGACTTTTATTTAGAGACGAGACCGACTGTCTGATTGACAAGCCTTAGGCTAGCTCAACCGCCCAATGCCTGCGTCACGTTCAATTGAACTTGAAGTTTGAGCGACGCCAGCGCTTCTTCAATGTAGAGGAGGGGCTGGTTGTTGTAGATGCTCGAGTTGCCTGTGATGTCGATGGGGAGCATGTAGTCCGGGTAGCTGCTTAGCATGCCGGCGACGGTGAGGGTGCTGACGTTGGCGGTCATGGGGACGGTATTGTTGCCTGGGCCGATGGTGAGGTCGTAGATGAAGGCTTGGCCGATGGCGGTGTTATTGACCTCCAGGTTGAGAGTCAGGTTGCCCTGTTGGATGTGGGGTTAGTTGGATGCTGACTATGGTGGATTAGGGGAAGGTGGGGGATATGCATACCACGGCGATGCTAATGTCGGAGGGGTTGGGGATGTAGACGGTTCCTTTGGCGTTGGTGCCGTCTGTGTTGTTGGTTCCAATTGACATGTCCACGAGATCAAAGCCCGAGAGCTTGTTGAGGCCTAGGCCGAAAATTATGGGTTAGTGGGTTGTGAAGGGTAATTTTCAGATGAGGGGAATGAGCGAGCTTACCTGTCACCATGGCGGTCTTGTTGTAGGTGACCGTGGTCTTGGGTAGACTTCCCTCTTTTAGCTGGGGCTTGCCGTAGACGTTGAGAGGGAACTTCTCGTTCATTATGGCGGCCTTGCAGAACTCAGCGAATGCCGTTTCGTTCGTCAGGTTCGCACGCTGGTTGACGTCGATGACAACGCCATTGTGGCCGTTGAACTGGGGCACCTGAACGTGTGTGAAGACAGCGGAACCCAGCAGGCTGATAGCTGCGGAGAAAGTGTAGAAGGTTGGGTGAAAAGAGCTGTTGGACCCAATGACCTGCAGCTGGTGGAGGTCGAAGGATGAAGGTGAGGGGTCACTGATGACCATCGATGTGACGGTCAGGTTGGAATCACTGACGATGTGTTGAGCCATCTTGGGGTATCCGACGTAAACTCTGTTTTCCCACGTTTGTCATGTAAGTCGGAGACCGGAAATAGATAGGGGGTGGAGGGGGGCATCTTTTGTCATGATAGGAAACTTACACAGGAAGCACCACCACAAGAACAATCACGATCAAGGCAATGATATACACCCACCACCATCGCTTGAAGTGTCTAGCCACGCGAGCCCCAAAGCTGGGCTTGGCCGTGGCCGGCACGGCCACGCCAGCATCTTCGAACACTTCAGGCTTGCTGTCGCTGGCCATCTTAGTTGCAATGCGCCGCTATCTCAGGTCGTACTGAACCTCTCCTCGGACACAATGGACCGATGATGTCGGTGTGACAATGGCGGGGGTTTCTCCTTCCGCGAGGACCGAGCCGAGGAATGTGGGATGGCTAGCACAAGGATTGTCTCTACACAGAGACGGATCCGAGGACTCAGGGACTTGATTAAAGTAGACAAGCTGCAACGAGGTCAGCAACGGACCGGCGGGTACGGGGGGGGAGTACTATATAATCGGCTACCATGGTGCGACAGCAGCGAAGATACATACCCACCAGTCTGGTCGAGGTCAAGTGACGGGCAAGTGATATGCAAGACCGACAATCGATAGGGTTGAAGAATGACCACGGAACCAGGAGACCGAATCAAGGGAGGCAAGGGAGGAGAGGAGAGAAGAAGAACCCACAATCAGCCAGGACGAGGGAAAAAGAAATCAACCGGGTCTAAACACCCCCCTGCCCGAACGCTAGGTCGCTAGATATATCTTCTAGATGGCCCCGGGAAGAAAAGAGAAGGGGAAAAGAAAAATTGAAAAATAAAAGCTGAGACCATCACATGTCCGATTTCAGCAACCTCGATAGTCGATCAGGTCTGCACACCGCGGGTCATACTAGTGTACAGCCAGGCTTGAGACGGCGCGGATGAGACATGCCGCTACTGGCCCTAGTAGATAGGAGTGTAACGGCGTAGACTAGGTTGAGAGGCGAGCCACCAAAGGGACGCCATGCCAGGACCCCAGTATGCGGGAGGACGATCCAGATAATGAGAACCAGATCCATTAGGCCCGGCCCCGCGCAAGGACCATGGCCAGCTTGAGATCGCATGGAGCTACACACACAGACACACACATACTTTTCGGCCGTACAGTGGGTGGGTTAGATCAGGCATTGTTCATGATTGATGATGTTCACCTGCAAATCCTGATTGAGAATGCCAGTGAACCGAGGCAAGAGGTGAGCCATCGCATCATCCCGCTGCGAGTGATTGGAGGGGGCGCACGAGAAGGAAGAGGAGAAGGAGGAGCAGGAGGGCGCAGGAGGGCGCAGGACGACAGCCGGAGCATGCTGAAGTGTGAAGCACTAATGCAACCCCCCAATTTCCCCCGGACGATCAGGGCAGCTTTGGGGTGGGACCAAATGCCGGCGCGATGCGAGAAGGTCGAGCTAAGGCTGGCTTTCTTCCTGTTTGGGTCATCAGGCCTGCATCCATCGCCACTCTTTCTCTCCTTTGGGCCAATTCTCCGTGGGCTGCGCTCGAGCACCGGCCAATCGCCCGACTTGGACTTGGACTAATGAACCCCCGGGGTTTAATATCGCCTGCCAATCAACCGAGCCGGTCGCGACGGTCAGCCCGGACTTCTGGTGCATTCGTGCTATATTATTATTGCATATTGCTCCAATTTCTTCTGTCGAATTCAAGCTGACGCCGGAATGAGGGGGAGGAGGTTAGTTGTTTCCCCGCTTAGATAGTTAGTCTCCAGCCAAGCTACCCGGTGATCCAACTACTGAATAGTCCGTGGTGCTAGTCAGGACCTGCCCTTTCCCCCCAAAATCCTCTCACCCACTAAGAGCAAAAAGCTATTCTTCCTCTGCTGGACACTTAGTTCCGAGTATTTACTTGTCTTCTTGTCTCATCTCTCCCCCCAGTGGTTCGTCGCCACTGGAGGACTTGGTTTGATCACGCTGGAACAGCAAGCACTACTAACTTCTCAGTGGCTGAGGTATTCAGAAGCATATCCAAAACTCTATCCATCATTGATGGATGAACATCCAATTATGTAGCAATTCCTCGTGAGTATCATCAGGTATGATCTCGGTCGACACAAAACACACGGCTATCTCTAAGAAGAAATGGAAAGAATGGTATTACAGGAGTCAAAAAAGAAAGATAATGGAAGAGATCCCAACGATCGAACATGGACAAGCGTCCACGGTAAATAAAAAGAAGAAAAGAAGTAAGAGAAAAACAAGTGGAGAAATGAAAATGGTTATAGAGGGAAGAACCACAGAACGAAGGAAGGGGGGAATAGTGTTAAATTCCAAAAGAGAAGAAAAGAATTATCACACAGTGATTCGAAAATGATGGGTATCCAAGAAACGAATATCGCTGCCCGCAAATTGGAACGCGAAGTCAAGCGAGAGCCACTCAACCCGGTGACCCAAAATGTGGAGCAGCTAGCAAGGCCTGCTCAAGGAGAAAAAGGAAAGGTGTGAAGAAATAGCGCGAAATGCGAAGTAAAAAAAAAAAGGAAAAGCAAAGAAAAGAGAAGAGAGGCAACCCACGGATGGGTCCAAACGAATGGAACGAAAGTCAACTAGAGAAATCTTCCTCAATCGGCAGCACATGGTGCGTGTTGATACTGACCAGAGACACTGAATGGTCGAGGAAGGACAAGAATATCAATGGAAATGCATGCCAAGACCAAATGTAGAACAAGCCTTTCGCCTTTCTTTTTGCTAACAAGATGGCAGATGCAAGCAGGCCCTCGGGTCGACCACAAGGGTGCTGCACACCCGTTCATGCTTCTGTCGCAACCGACTTCTTTCGATGGAAAAGACTGCGGGTTCGGGATTTGCTGCGCTGTTTCTTCTCGGGAGTGCTGCCAGGTTGGGCCCGACCACGCGAGTTCGAGCTGGACTCTTCGTCCATGTACTTGTCCTTGTAGATCCTATCAAAGCCCGGTTAGACCCACCCCAACCATAGCCGACCCGGTGGAGCAACTTACCAACTATTCCCAACCATGCTGATGCCCTTCGCTTCCGCCTGCCGGTAGAATTTCGCCGCTTTCTTCAGGTCCTTTTTGCATCCAATACCTTCGGCGTAGCAGAAGCCGGCCTCCGCTAGGGCATCGCCGTCGCCCCATTGGCCCGCGATCTCGAAGCAACGCAAGGCCAGGGACTTGTCCTGTTCGATACCCCATCCATTCAGATGGCTTACTCCAAGCTCGTAGATACTCAAGGCAAACTGCGCTCGATAAGCCTTCTGTAGCTCCTTGGCGCGAGCGGGAATGGTCGGGTTTGAATCGTCCATCAATTCGATACCAACGGAATCCACGGCCTTGCGCAACCACTGCACACCCTCCCGCTGATTCGGTCGCATACCCCAGCCATGTCGACAAGCCAGCGCATAAAGTAACATTCCGGTCGGATGGTTTTGCTTGGCTGCAATGCGCAGGTGATATGTCGATTCATTCAAAGATCCTTTCTCATGGCATTCGATGCCCTTGGTCACATGCTCATCTGCAGTAATTACAGCCGATGTTGTCGTGTTTGTTCGCGCGGTTTGCGGACGAACGGTGGATTCAGAACCTGCAGAGGAAGTGGCATCGGTGTGGTCTACCTTCGGAGCCTCTGCTTCCCGTTGTTCCGTAGGAGTATCTTCGGCGGGAGCGACCTCGGTAGGCACAGGCTCGGTAGGCTCAGGCTCGGTAGGTGCGGGCTCCGCAACAGAAGGCTCAGGCTCAGGCTCGACAGGTGTCGCTGGAGATGGTCTGACTTCCGGAGATGGCGGAGTTTGTTGAGGCAGAGGGGGCTCCGGAGTCAACAAGTGACGAGCGGAAGCGGGAGACTCATACATCGAGCGCGTCTTCGAGTGGAACGAACCCTGGAGGGAGGGGGAAGGCGACGGGGTCCTTGCGGGTTGCGGGGGTCCCGCCGTGCTGTGCCGAGTTGGGCTCTCAAACAGCGGCTCCTGCCACTCAAAATGAGGGGTTTGGAGGCCGGAGAAGACCACCGAATCTCTCGATACTGCACGTCCTCGAGGCAGTGCGTACTTGGCATAGGTGTAGCAAGAAACAGCAGAAGACGGGTCTTCATTGGGATTGATGGGCAAGTCTGATGGCGATGGTACCACGATGGGACTAGGCTTGTGTCCACGGTTGAGCGCGCCTTGCGAATTGGCAACGGGCGGTTCCGGCGAGGCCCTGGGACCGGGGGCAGAGAGACTCGTGCTGGATCGGCTCAGGGGGCGCGAGAAGTTATAGGGCCGTTGAAGGTAATTACCCGCGTTTGAAGTCTCGGAGCTCATAGATGGCGACCGGGGATGCGAGCGTGTTACGGAAGAGGACATCGAAGAGTATGGCAGTGATACGGCACTGCTGGCGGACATCTTCCGGGGCTTTGAGAACGTCGAACCGGCATTCGAGCTGCTGTAGTCGTCGTCGGAGCTCTCAGGCTGTACTCCTCGAGAACTACTTGAAGGCCTAGACAGTGGCGATCCCGGAGGTGCTAGGCCTCGTGGGGGAATGTTCAAGCGAGAAACAGAATCAGTCGAAGAGGTCCGAGAGGGTGCCACCATCGAGACCCCCAGAGAAGGAGGCGGGCCACCCGGGGTAAGGCCAGTGGGGGAGACAGCATAAAACCGAGGAGGGCCTTCCGGCGGAGCTTCGGGTGCGCTGTGTGAGGACATGGCATCCTCGGGTGATTCGGCGCGTGGCAGGTCAAGGGCGTTCACGCTCGGCTCTTTTTTGGGGGTCGTGTCTTCGTCCTCGGAGTAATCTCCCACTTCGCTGGTAAGGTGCGACACCGCACTCAGACGAGGATGTTCAGACTGCGGGCGAAATTTGGGTTCCTCCACCTCGGGGCTTAATTTCTGCGTAGGTTGTCTTGACAGTTCATTGCGTCCGCCGTGACCTCTTGCGCCAGTAGAAGAATCGCTCGACGACGGGGATCGAAAATATCCAGGGCGAGGTTGCGAGAGGGAACGAGCGACGCTAGATGGAGGTAGCCTGCTCATGCGCCGGTTCCTTCGTGCCGATTCCTCCAGTTGACGAGCCAGGAGCCGACCTTGGGCGGCGAAGGCATCGAGCGGGGAGAGCGCAGGAGGAATTTCACCATCATAATGCTCAATGCGTGGGGACGGAGCCCCGCTGCGCAGGACGTCGTGGGAGGGAGAGCGGTGTTCAAACTTGGGCCGGGAGGCCATGGTTATTATCCAGGGTTCGTCGACTTGGTTCAAAAAAAAGAGGGATGTTCGGTTTCGTTTTCCGGGGTCAAGACAGGAACCACACGTAGGTTCCAATCGATTAAATCATTAAACCACTAAGGACGAGCGAGGGGTTCGATTGTTCAATCGCGTTGCATGAAGAATGTGGGATGACGGGAGTTGGAATGGGGGGGAAGGAGTCGGCAGCGCTTGATGCTCTGCACAAACACTGGTAAGCCGGAGGCGCGCAAGAACAGTCTTCGAAGTACTGCACAGCTGACAGGGTGCGGACAGAAGGAGGGGGCGGAAGACACAAAGGAATGACAGCCCCAGTGAGTAAGATAAGCAAGAGGGTGTAGAAGAGAAAAGAAGCGAACGAACAGCTCCGAACAGTAGATAATAGGTGGAAGGTGTATGTGGATGGGTGAGGCCGGTACTAGAACTGAAGAGCCGGAGGGGAAACGGCACCCAATTGGTGTGGATTGTGGTGTGATAAAGTGAGGGTGGTTTTCCCGGCGGATAACAGTCACTACTTACTACTACCACTATATGAGTAGTACAGAGGGAGTGATAAGGCAGTTGAACAATCAACTAGTTGACAGTTCAAGAGTCGTCACACAAAGAGACCATGAACAAGCATTGCGGAGGGAGGGAGAGAGGGGAGAGGGAGGGAGGGAGGTGAGGCGAGCGGGGGGGAAAGAGAGAGGGAAAAAGGGACCAAGAAGGAGGGAGTTTGAAGCGAGCGAAACTGGAAGAGCGTGTGAAGGACGTTTTGGCCCATTTGATCAGGTTCGAGGCAGGAGGTTTCGTTACTTTACTTTACTTTACTTTACGCCCTGACGATCCCCAAACAAGGACCGTCGTTCTGGGCGTCTCCACGCGGAGGGGAAGAAAAGAACGGTAACGCCATTACCGACGGGTGCCATGCAGTCTGCCCCCCAATCGCGCCTGTTGCTGCTGCCGACAGGCCCATTCTTTCAGGGGTTGCCGTTCCCCCGTTACATACCCATACCGGACAGCTGACAGTTCCTCGGTCTTGGCATCCGCCCAACTGCAGGCGGATCTTTTACCATACCTTCATTACACACCTATTTTTCGTTTTATTTTACCGGGGCGAAGTCAGGGGCTTGCATTACTATTGTTCGCTTTATCGATGATTATTGATGCCCGGACTCACCCCCAAAGGTACGAAAGAGAGTTTCTATCTAGCACGGGGAAAGCCTGTCCGTCGGGGGTTGACCAGCTTCTAGAAGGCAATAGCATTCTCGACCATCGTCAGTCTGTCTGTCGGGTTAGTGGTTCAGCCTGAGTCGACGGTGGAGTCTGAACCGCACCGTGGCTCTGCAATGCTGCTATTTATATTCGCTTCGTCTCCCCCCTGCAAATTTTCGTATCCCAACCTTGAGATTCGCTGCTGATTCGTTCATCGCGTCCCATGGGTTCTTCCCTCTCAGGTACCATGTGTTGCTCCAACGACCGCCGTTCGTTTCGCTTCTGCCATGGTGGCCTCCGGCTAGTGTTGTTATTGCGATAGTCGCCCGTTGACTAGCCAGCCGGTCTGTGTGGTGCAAGGAGGTAGATCTTGTCTAAGATTCTGGGTAGATGCTTTCCACCCACTTTTCATCATCTTCATCGCTGGTGAAATCCAAAGTAAAACCAGTCTGGGGCAAGATGATGACTACCATCTGGAACAGATGTCTCATCTGACTACATTCTTGTTCTGGGTAACTACCTGTTCTTAGTAGAGACTATCACGATTAAGCGGTGTTCTGTATTTCATTTGGCTGAGAAGAACGGCACCGTGAGGGGGTGCGCGTCCTCAGCATGGACGCCTGAGTCAAGGAGTCTTAGCCATCCCACATCATCGCCAAGGATGGGGCATTATTCGATGACGATGGTGTTGATGATGTTTTTCTTCGTGTCCCCCTCTCTAAGGACCCAACAATTGGCCCCGGGGCAGGTGCTCGTTTTGTCAGCTGGTCCGGATTCAGGTACAACGTTGCGGGAACGCCAAACAGTCTAAAACGATCGCTTGCCAGTGATGATTGGTGCGACAATTAAAACACTGGAGCATCGGGGAATTCTACCGCTGGACCTCCGGCCAGCTTCTTCTTAGACTTTTCTACGCCCACATTGACTCGTCAATAATCAAATAGTAATAATATCAGCGGCCTGAGGTCCTCATTGAGCCCTCGTCGTGGCTCTCTCCAAGGCTGCTGACACTCGTCTGAGTCCATATTGAAGCTTATAGGGTAGCGCTTGGGATCACCAACTGCATACTTGCTTACTCTTGAGGCACCTGAACATGTCGGCAGGAAGCCCCGCTCGATCTTATCGTAAGATTGACTATCTACATGCTTAGCAGGAGAAATATTGAACAGGGATATTCCTGCAGCCAATCTTGTTCCTGACACTCAGTGGCTGGCAATAGCGCAAGGGAACCCGACAGCCGTTGGAATGTCTCCATCCACTGCAGTGACATAAAACGGATTCCATCCATGGGAAGGGCAATAAAATAAAATGAAAAGAAAAATCTCTTCAACCTCACAGACCACTCTCCCTATCGTGAGCTAATTGAGGTACGGAGGAGCAGCGGAGACAACCATACTCCGTCTTGCCCAATCATGACGCACGCCAGGCCGACTAATTGAGTATTTCGGCGACGCTCCGCCGAAGCTTAGGTGTTAGCAGCATGAGTCTAATCAAGTCGAGATGATCAGTCGTTAAGGAGAAGAATACTAATGTGAAGGGGAGGGGGCGTGTGAATTTTGACAAGGGCACAAAGAACAACCCTTCCACCCAATCTCTCTGTAAATCATCTCTGGTCGCGTGTCCCTTGCGCTTTGTTCAGCCCTCCATATCGAGCAAATCCCCATGTCTATCACCACCCCATGAAACAACTGAAAACACAGCCCTAATTTACTATCGCTCATACTATACTACGCTATACACGCGACACCGCGACAGCCAAGCCCAAAGCGTGGAGCCTTTCAAAATGCTGAACCGATTGAGAAACCGCTCCCTCTACGACCTCCTCCACGTCGATCCTCCTCGAGACCGTGCCCACGTCTACGAAACCTCCTGGCTTCTCCCACCCCTCCCCTACGCCATCCTCCGCGGCACCATCTCCCTCTACATCTTCACCAGCATCTTCTTCATCTGGGGTTGGAGCGGCACTCATGGCGACCGCGCAGAGATCGGAGAGAGCTTCAGCTACTTCACCTGGCTGACCTACTGGGGACTAGGTTTCTACATGCTCTTCGCCTCCATCCACACAGCCTGCTATGCCTTGAAAGGTCACTCGGTCCTCTTCGACCGCTGGCCTCGCGCCCTTCGCGCCCTCCACGGCCTCTTCTACACCACCGTCACTACCTACCCATTCCTCGTGACCGTCGTCTTCTGGGGAATCCTTTACTCGGGACCTTGGTACACTGTGACTTTTAGCGGATGGCAGAACGTAAATACCCCTTCTCTACCCACTACATTCCCTGTGCCCTACCCCTCAAAATCTTCATAATATACTAATAATATCCAGATTTCCCAACACGGCCTCAACTCCCTCTATGCCCTGTCGGAAATCATCCTCCCAACCACAGCCCCGCACCCATTCCTCAGCTTCGCCGTGCTGGTTTTCATCCTTCTTCTATACGTCTCCCTCGCCTACCTCACCTACCACACTGAGGGGTTCTACACGTACTCCTTCCTGGATCCCGGTCCGCATGGCGAGAAGAGCGCCCATGTTACGGGTTACTGTTTCGCCATCCTGGCGATCATCCTTGTCTTCTTCTTGTTCTCGTGGTGTGCTATTTGGTTGAGGCGGAGGGTGACGGGCGGGAAGGTGAAGAGGTCCGTTTATGATAGGGATTATGCGGGTGCTGAGGTGGGTGGTGATATTGAGGAAGAGGTGGGGGTAGAGGAGATGAGGGAGGAGAAGTGAGGTATTTATTTACTTGACTCTTTTGTTGGTTGCTTATGGGCTAGTTAAGGAGGTGGTGGTAGTCGGGGTGGAGGTTGCGGGATGTAATGTGATGTGATGTGGTTAATATGATATGCTGTGGGTTGAGTTGTATTGATGGGTATAGTGGTAATTATACTAATAAATATGAGTTTACTGTATTATACAGATACAGATGACTATCACTTTGACCACGGATAAGTTACATACAGTTAGTTCAATTGAAATCCCTCATATACCTACTTACTGTGAAGAAGAAGAGAGGCCGTCAAGAAGAAATGTCAATATGACGCTATAGAAAAGAGAAAGAGAAGAGATGATATCATTTCACACTACTCCGTATCAAAGACCCCCATCATTAATATGCTTAATCCATTAAACCTTCTCCCAGCTCGTCTCGCTACTCCCCCCGCTTCCATTCTCCGCGGGTGTCTGCTGTCCGGTCCGCAACCCCAGCATCCAGCCTACCAGTCCAGCGGGAACCCACTCGCCAATGAAATGGTACGACCGTGCCCCCCGACCAACATAGATGACGGGGTTCTTGGCCACCTTTCTGCCGAAGATATCCTTCGATGGCGGGTCCAGTGCGTCCAGGACAGCGTAGTGTAGAGCCCGGGCCGGTGATCCGCGGATCGTGCTGGGCCCTGCGGACGCGGCAGGTCGTTGCTCGATGCTGTTGAGATACTGCGAGGCGTACAGGGATCGCTGTTGCACACTCCAGGCGAGGACTTCCGTACCGGTGATGTGACTCTGAGCGTTGCGGTACTGTGGGCCTAGGTCTATGTTACCGAGCTTGAGTTCCACGACGTCGATGTTGTTTTGTTGTAGGAGGCTGAGTTCTCTGCGCAGGGAAGTTGCGAACCCTGACAGTGCGCGAGTTGTTGCGACTTCGGGTCCGGTAAAGGGTGCGGAGAGGGATGAGGAGATGGACGGGTAGGCGACGACGATGGTGCTGTTGGTGTTACGGAGGGTGAGGAGAGGGAGGAAGATCTGGGTTGTAAGAATAGGGGAGAGAAGACGGGTGTTGACGGTGTCGATCCAGGAGGAGGGTGGGATTGTAGCCACGGGGCCGGAGGCGTAGTTTGGAGAGGGTACGAGGATGAGGCCGCTCAGTTGGCAGGTGTGCGGGGGCACACCGGCCATCGGCGACTGAGGTCGAGAAATGAGGGAGTAGATCTCATTCAAGGAGGGGTGTATTTCGGATGGTGAGGAGGGTGTCTGTTCAAATCGATATTGTCAGTTTGACGCGAGATTCCTGCGAGATTTATTGCGCTTACGGCCGAGAGATCCAACCAAAGGGCTTTGATATCTGCTCGATTGTCCGACTGCACGATGTGCTCCTCCTCTGCGGACGTGACTGTCACGTAGACTATGTATCCTCGACGTTCCAGATCGGCGGCGATCGCTCTGGTCATCGGCTCATGGGGCGACCCGGCGACGACTGTCGCATATATCAGACTGCGAAGTATAAGAGAAGTGGGAAGTTTACATACCCACTATTTCCTTCCGGGCTCCATTTCCAGCTCGCCTAGCTCTCCGTCGCTTTCCATTCAGCTTCTTATTCCCATAGTACAGCACACAGCTGGTGCCCAAGAAGGCGATAAGGGCGGCGCTCCATGCTCGGTTGCGCAAGACCCAACTGTGCACGCGATCAACAAGTCCTCGCGGTATAGGCGGACTGGGTCGATTTCTGGATACGGGCCGAACGGAGGTGGGTAGCCATGACTGGCTAGAGAGGGTATCGCGGAGTGCGTTGGCTGCGTGGTCCACTTGTCGGTCGATCGACTCGGCGACTTGGAGGGAATATCTCCTTACGTCATGCGGTATCGAGGCAAGCTGGGGAACAGGAAAGCGTCAGTACAAAGGTGGCAAGCAGAGGGCGCATGCTACCAACTCACGTAGTCGAAGAAAAACTGGTCGTCACTAGTCATGGTGATGCTGTCTGCACTCAGGAACCCGAGCTTTCTGAGATAAAGAGGTTGATGAAGATTCGCCGGCAATGAAGAATCCGATTCTTATCGGCGGGCGGGTCACATGAGTCTTTCCGCCCTATTGGAGCGCCCGGATCTATACGGCTGCACCGTTGATGTGAATGCTGCAGTATATACAACAAGCATATGATGGGTCGTAAAGGGCTTGTTGGTGGTTTCCAACATGCGTTAATCTGGTACTTAAATCTCGAAAGGTGGGGTTGGAACACCGACGATAGTCGTGTCGATATGCCATTGTTATTGGCTGCTACATATTCATATCATTTGTCTGCAACAGTTAGTGTAGTACTTCGTACTGGCAAGAAGCCCCTTGGGTGAGATAAACGCAACGGGCGTAATGATACATCGAAAGCCGCAAATACCAGTAGCAGCATGTCTACTATAGAAATACTATAGCATTACCAAATCCCAGAACCACCATGCCAAAGAGCTGGCTCCGTCACAAGACTCCCGTAAGACCCTAGCCAGTGACATCGGTGTGAATGGGCCGAGAGGGTATAGTAAGGATGAGTGTGAAGTGTATCCAAATAAGATCTTTTGGCTATTAGTATGCGTATGTATATTCTCGGCAATTCTCGCTACCGCGTGAGCTATAGAGAGACAGTAAGCTGAATCTGTGCAAGCTTGTTGTCTACTGGAGTAGTCCGGACACATGGTAGCTACCTATACTAATACAGCGGCTCGAGGAACCTGTCTGCGAGGTAAAGGAACACTAAAACACAACGTGAATTGAGGAAGCTCATCGACGTCTCTGGGAAGAGACGATGGATAGATTGATTTCCGTGTAATTTGGGCCCTCCAGGTATGCTGTAGGAGCCATGTTAGGGGACTAATTCAAACAGGCACGCTTCAGAACTCTCTGTGGCGATCATTTCACACAAATAAAAGTAATAGAAAAGAAAAGAAAATACTCGATCATGGAGATGCAATTGACTGGAATCAGCATATATATCCTATCTGTATCTCCGCGAACAGGCAAAAAATTTAAGGGGTGGAAAAAAAGTATGACCAGACTGGGGCTCGATCCCAGGACCTTATCGGTGTTAACGATACGTGATAACCAACTACACCATCCGGCCAACTTGTTGAAAGGATGCGGTAAATACTGCCTCATAAATTAAAAATACCTATCAATATGGCTACGCCATCTGTCACAATCAAGCATGCAACACACCCATGTAGATGCTCTTTTGTAACTCAAAGTAATGATAATTATAATAGCTACGTTACTAGGAGAAAGTTTCCCCAAACCTACCTGTGTTAACTCATCCCTTAAGTGGGTTGGGCTCAGCTGGCCTAGCCTATTCGTGACTCTGAGGTGCCATGGAAGGCCGGACGCCTGAAAGAAAATATATATGTGGGATGTGGTTAAAGTAGGATACAAGCCCTGCATTGTTTGGCCATGTTTGCTCACAGATGTATCGAGGAGCCCCAGTCATGTGCAACACTAAATCCACCAGCAACCACGCAGGAACGCTGCGGTACTCCCACCAGCTGTAGGGGACCAACTTGCATATCCTTAATCTAAGTACCTGCCTACATCACATACAGTCAACAGAATGAGAATTTCGTGTTAAGAGCCAAAGGTACAAAGAAATGTCACCGGAAGAGGAATTCCCCGCTCATCTATCCTAGGAAGTCTATTCGCAGTGGCTCACCAGGTTTTGGAGTATGCTAACCCAGCCCAGAAAACATAGATTGCGGATTTATGGCACTGTTCAGTCATTAATATTGTCTGCGTTCAAAGAGATTCGAAATCTCCCATGCCTGATCTGACAATCTGACCATTAAAAGGAGCAAGTACAATCCGCTCAGTCAATTCCTTACCAGATGTTACTCGGATCCGATTACCGGTAAACCATACGAGTAACGTCTGCGATGAATCAATCACAGTAGCATCCTCTTTCGCAGCATAGCATTACTATGCTTCCCAGCCTCATTGGTACCACATTGCCTGGAACATGTCTGCACCACGCTGAGGTAGTATTGATGATTGGCTGACCACTAAACCACAAGCAGTCTAATATTTACATTCTTGATATAAGATTGCGATGCTCTTTCACATCAGATGGTATGGTGTTTATCATACATAAGTCGAATCCGGCAACTCCGACACGCCTGTGCCTCTACCGTGGGTCTCGGCAAAGCGAGAAAACTCGAGTGTTCCCGGCTTCAGAGATCAGCACGATGTATCGATAACCTTCACATTTCTAGGTTTTCTATCAGGTCGCTGGATCGGAAGCTTAAATCTTTTCGAATAAGGTAGTGAGTTGAATCCGCAATGCCGAAACGTACGGAAGAGTTGACCGATGTTTCGAAGTGGATCATTGCCCAAGATGTGCGATTCCCAGACCGAATCATTGCGGGGCGCCTCACCCACTGCCGAGTCATTCAGCCTAAGGACTTATCTAGCCGCCGTCTACATCGGCCGAACCAATTATGTCTGAGTTCGAGATGGCCAACCACAGACTAGGGATCGCCCACAGTGTTCTGACTGCGTGTCTGTATGGTGAGAGAACAATCGGATGCCCCCCCTGAGTGCTGGGTACTTAGCTCGGTACCCTATCGGGAGCCAAATCTAGTCACCCTGCCAAGTGCCACATCCTCTAATAGTTGGCCTGCTATGAGCCGCTAATCGCTGGGGGTCCGGGTTGGTGATGTCAATATTGTTCTGATCATGCAAGCCCCTCAGCCTGTCTACTTTCATGGTGCCGTAAGGTAGCCACTTGGTTGACCCGCATCAAAGGCAACTTATTAAGTAGGAGGAAAGGAACAGACAAGTTTATGCTACGTAAAAGTTCAGGTAGAAAAGGGGAATAAGGCGGGAGCCAACGGTCCCATTCGGCAATATACACGTTCCACCTTAGCTTCCATGCAGAGCTTCCTCGGTATATAAGCAAGGAAAAGCCCCTGCTTACCGACTGGACCGAAGACCCGTTTTGGTAAGTTGCCAATGCTGTGTTTCAGTTTTTCACAATTAACCAAGCATATGGCACATCTTTTAGCTTGATTGCTCTCTTAGCCGTTCACGAGCTTTAAAACCCACGACTTTCCCTTTACCAACCTTGCCACCCCTCAGAGCATGTTTTCATTCCCTCACCAGGGTTCCTTCAAGAAATTGGAGAAGGTTTGTACTTCCTATTCAGGGGACAAATAATGAAGGAAGAAATTGAGGGTTTTCTGGTGGCCCAAGTCGCTAATTGTCACGTTAGTTGGGCCAGGGAACGTATGCAACGGTTTGTTCAGCCATGCGTTGATTTGTGGTCGACAGGTACAGTTAGTGGTCCCTGACAGCGTATCTGCCTTTTATTTCAGGTTTACAAAGGACGCAATCGCGAGACGAATGAATTAGTGGCCTTGAAAGAAATCAACCTCGATGCTGAGGAAGGCGCACCCTCAACGGCTATCCGGGAAGTCTCATTGCTGAGACGTCTTACACATGAGAATATCTTGACCTTGCACGATGTAATAAATGTTGAAGACAAATTGGTGCTGGTGTTTGAATACATGGATAAGGACCTCAAGCGCTACATTGACACTCATGGGGGCCCCCTCGATGCCGCCACGGCCAAGTCCTTCGTCTACCAATTGCTGCGCGGTGTTTCTTTCTGTCACGAGAACGGCATCCTACATCGAGACCTGAAGCCCGAGAACCTACTACTCAATCAGGATGGACGACTAAAACTTGCTGATTTTGGACTTGGCCGTGCGTTCGGTATCCCCATCAGCAAATTTTCGAGTGACGTGGTCACTCTTTGGTACCGTCCTCCAGATGTGCTGCTCGGAAGTCGCACGTACACGACCAGCATAGACATCTGGTCCGTCGGATGTATCATGGCGGAAATATATACAGGTTCTGCATTATTTACTGGAACAACAAATGCGGATCAACTGTTGAAGATCTTCAATATTATGGGCACACCAACCGAGCTCACCTGGCCAGGCGTCAGTCAGTTGCCCGAATACAGAAACGATTTCCCGCCTTGCTCCCCACAAAGTCTGCAACAACTTATACCGTCATTAGACCCTGTAGGGATTGACCTCCTGGGACGCATGTTGCAATTATGCCCAGAAGCACGCATCAGCGCCACTGATGCTTTGAATCACCCCTGGTTCCAGGGTTTTACTTAGAAGGTTGCGTCGAAAACTGCCTTCTATTATAGATACTGTCTCTTCAGTCGTTTCTTCAGTCATACATCCAGGCGCTTCCTACACCTCTAATCAACTACAATCTTTCTATTGCGTTGTTTCGTGTATTACGACTTCAAGATTTTCCAGGCCAGGATGCCGTTTAAGTTGATTCCAAGAATTGCAGAAGAATCCTGCGGGTGATTGCAAAGCAACGGTTGGGTCCCCCCACCTCCCCCTACACAGAAGCCGGATTGCCGTCCGGATCCACACTGATTATCGGCCTCTATTTCGGGTCGGAGTTCAATCTCGTGAAGCCGATCACGTTATGTCTTCAGGAACATTGCAGCACATTTCATCAATGACTCTGATAGATTACATGTATCATACTTCTCCTTCGCCCGTTACTGTTGGAACACCTTTCTAAGTTTGTGCATAATGACGGGACCTTGATAACATGCAATGGCTTTAGGAGCTCAAATACGCAGTGCTTACAAGCTGCAATGCATAGCACTTCAGTCATATATGCTCTATCGAAATGCCACGAAATAGGTACTGTTTCCTCCGTTCTTCCTAAAGCATGTGATTCTGTTTCAAATGTTAACGTTTCGCAGTCAAACTTGGATTCTAAGAGTCTCCACACATATTTCTCTAGCCTCACGGTCCATGTGACCGCGGACTATCTGTTAAACAAGCAGCCCAGCGCATTCACCCGCATTTGGCCAAATGCCCTATATAAGACAATCGAAGATTTACTGAAAGAATTGGTTCAACCGGGTAACGCAGCATTGAAGGACCACAAAATGATCCTCTAAGACATAGAAAGTCTATTCATAGATATATCTTCTAGCACAGACCTGATTGGGGGAATAGGGAATGTAGTAGATCGGTCAGAATATATGAATGCTGAAGATCTGATCTACGACCTCCCTGAGACATTTGCTTTAGTCTGTTGGTCATGACCGAAGTTTGGCCAAGTAACAATGGCACATGTATCTGATACGATTACATTTACCATAAATCCGTGCTAAAATAGACATCAATGCAGGTCGATAAGAGGAACTACAACTCCTTAAACGCCATACCAAATAGAATAAGCACCTATTTAACCTAACTCCGTGCTCAATAATCAACCCCAACCATAACACCAATCCCATAATCTTATGCACAATCCATAAGCTCCACACCAATCTGCCCGCAAACCGGTACTTCTGTCTCTCCCTCCCTCGTCCAAACTATTTCACCTTCTTCAAGCTTCAATGAACTTCTTGTCATCTTCCATGTCTTCACCCTTAATCTTAGGCACAAGAACAGGAGAAGACGGCACCTCCGCCTTCCCCTTGATCGCCTTGCCATTCTTTCGGGCCCTCTTGGGAGTAGGGGTATTTGGCGCAGAGGATCCCGATCCATCAGGAGCGCCTCGCTTGCCCTTCGTGAACCTGAAGGTGATGGAGCTGCCGGGCTTGCGGTATTTGCCTAGCTGCTCGCTGAGAGCCTTGCCAGTGGGCTTGTCGTCTCCGGCTATGGGGTTCAAGTTAGTGATAAGGTCGGGATTGTTGTGCGTGTCTGTGAGGGGTGTATACTTACGCCAGGCATCGACGATCTTGTCGAGATCAATCTGGAAAGTCTGAGTCTCGAAGATGAGACGGAGGAGCTGGTGTGAAGCATGTTAGTTCGTCTTTGTGTATATTGGTATTGTAAGGGTGTGTGTGCTTGGGGAAGGAGGTTGAGGAGGGACATACAGTTGCCTTGTTCTCATCGGTCCAGCGAGTCATTTTGATAGTTTATAGTTGAACTTGTTCAAGGAGATTCTAGTAGGTGAGCTTGGAGGTTCTGTGCGTCTGAATGTGTGGGTGGTCGAGAGGATGAAGAAGAGAGTAGAGCACCGAGGAGAGAGAATAATGAAGATTAAGAGAGAAGGAAAGGAGAAGATAGAAGTAGTACTAAAAAGTGGGAAAGAGAGATCCTAGTGAATGTCTGGAAAAGCAGATCACAGGATTGTGGTTTACTTCGGTGTTACCGGTGAAGTGGGCCTGGTTTATTATCGTCGAGAGCGGTGTTGAGTGATAGGAAGAATCTGCTTGGAACGGATAATGATCCTATCATTTTCTGCTCACTTAGCAGATTCTCTAGTTGTATTGGATTTCCTGACTAGGTTTCATGGGGAGCATTACTCACTGCAGTGCTCTGGATGAGAGCAGCGGTTGATAATTTGGAGCAGATGTAAAGAACTAATAGGAAGGGTGGTGCAGGGTCAGAATATCTTTCATACATCCTGCATTCCAGGCATCAGTTAGTGCAGTTCAAGTGTTCTTGCCACTGTTTTCCCTATACTCCTCGTTCAAATGCCTTGAACAGTCTACATTGAAAGCCTCTCGGGTGAGTTGCCATGCAGCGTCACTCAATAACTTTTGTCTATAATATAAGAATAATAAATTCTATGCACTTATATAATTCCAGCATAGACAGTATATAGTCTATCTTCTGGAAACTATTCCATATGTTCCACTTCTCTTGTAGTTTATGATATCCCAAGTGCTATACAGAGCCATTTCTAAGATATACCAGAAAATTATATGGTGGAGCAGGAGACACATTCCGCAACTCTAAGCATAGCCATAATAGTACGTCTCAACTATGCTACCATCTAACCACACTATGTAGACCTCAATAGATTACTAAACAAGAAGAAGACCAGAGAATTTCCCTTCGATCAGAATGAAAGTCGTTGAGTGGCTAACCACCCGATTGGCCGTGCCAGCCTCAGGCACATATGTATCCACGTGATTCCCGTTCCTGGATGCCTGGATGCCTGGATTAGCAATCGAATCGGAGTGGCACTCAGTTCCTATTCTTCCAAATGATTCTTTCTGCCTGAACATCATCATCATCTTTCCCCCTCCAACGCTTGGGGTCATGTCTCTCATTTATTCCAGCGTGTTGCTATCCTGTTGGGACACGTTTTCCGCTCACTGACGCAGTCCAAGTGTGGAATATACCTGGTGGAGGCGGTAGCAAGCATCTGCATCTAGATCTGTTTCCGCTGTACTTCAAATAACGAGTCACTTTCCCGAAGTTCCTTGATATCATATCCATTTATCACCCTCATATTCATAGCGCGGTTTGAAGACTGTATCTTCAGGATTTTCGCCACCATGCGCGAAATAGACCCGCTCGTTTTCGAATACCAGCATGAGAAGCAGCGACCACGAGAAGCGGAAGCGTTACTAATTCTTAGAAAAGTCGCTTCGCTGGTAAAACCCATCATGCGTCGACGAGACTGGAAAGTCGGGACGCTCTGTGAATTCTACCCTCATCAGCGGAACCTGCTTGGCTTGAACGTCAACGCGGGCCAAAAGATCTGTCTACGGCTGCGGTATCCTTCTGATCAGCGCCAGTTCTTACCTATCGAGCAGGTAGTGGATACGATGCTTCATGAGTAAGTGATTATCTATTTTCTATCACGTTTCCCCTATATTTTTCTCTGCTTAGAGAGAGCGTTAGTGGTTGATGGTAGTGTATAGGCTGTGTCATATCGTGCATGGACCTCACAACCAGCAGTTTCATGCACTTTGGAATCAGCTACGAGATGAGCATGAAGAGCTTGTCATGAAAGGCTACACAGGTGAAGGGTTCCTTTCTGAAGGGCGACGGTTAGGGGGACGGAAAATGCCCGTCGATGAGGCACGCCGTGTAGCCAGAGCAGCTGCGGAGCAGAGGCAGTCTCTATCTGCTGGATCTGGACGACGACTTGGTGGAGCGCCTGTTCTGCGCGGAACTAATATGCGCCGGGTCATCGCTGATGCTGCGCAGAGGCGCATAGAAGTGACGAATGGATGTGCCTCGGGCGCTGACAACAGTGCCGAACTTGCAGAGGAAGCCTCCAGGAATGGCTTCCGAACTAAGGCAGAGGAAGACGATGCCAATGAGCGAGCCATCATGGAAGCGTACATCGATCTGATTGAACAGGAGGAGCGTGAGAGATACGGCCCTTCTTATATTCCGCCGAGCCATGATAATCCCGCAGGTCCGCGGACAACGCTGTCTCCGCCACCTGTCCTGGAGAGCAGCAGGCCGAGAGGGCCGTCGCAGCCTGCAGATACTATTGACCTCGTCTCGGATGATAACCTCTACGATAAGCCATGGTCATGTCCGACATGCACCCTTGAAAACCCAGCAAACTTCCTTTGCTGTGATGCGTGTGCATCAGAACGTCCGCGGCCAACAACCACAAGATCTGTTTCTGGCCCTCCCACTACTACTGCTAGTTCGATTCAGCCAAACCCAGCAGTGAGCAAGAACAAGCGGTCGATTAGTCCGTCAACCCGTTACACCGGGTTCAAAAACCGGACTCGTGCTGTTGAATCATTAGCCGCTCTCGAACGGAACGCCAACAAGCGACCTCTCGGATGGCTATGCGATAACTGCGGGGCTTTCATGGAAACCGAGTGGTGGACTTGTTCCAACTGTGGCTTGATGAAGCGCGCATCATGAATTATTTAGCATTTTGAGCGTAGGCGTTTGGCGCGAGAGAGGCGTTCTCATCGGATTTGTATCCGGCAAGAAATCCCATTAATTTTGACCTATCACGAGGTATGAGTCTTATATCACATAGTTGCATCGTCAGACGGTCCTAGATCATCTACCCGGAGCACATAATGTAAAGACTATTGTATCTTCGACAGGAACATCAAAGTTAACATGGCAAAGCTATTTTTTGACAGAATCACCCAGTAACAGCCACCTGCTTCTCCTCCGCCGTCTGCACCCTCAACTCCCCCTTCGTAATCTTCCAGATCATCCAGTCGCTCACAGACCGGTCGTCATTAACCTCTCCCTCCCTCAACAGCGGAATCACCGCACTCTCCTTAAGCCTATGCATCGTACCAGTTCGATGCGGGTGAGTCAGCAATGCCACGCTTTGGCGCGCCACATTCGCCTGCTCGCCAGGGGCCGTAACAACACGATGAAATGCACTATGCAGCACATCTCCCGTCCACTTCATCAGGGAAACACCCACATTGATCAGCTCACACACCCCGGTCTCGGACGAACATACTCCCAGTTCTCTGTCACGTTCTCCTTCCCCGTTGGCAGAATCTGGAGTCCACCCGAGACATTAAACAGCATTGTCAGGGCGCCTACATCGGCATGCACTAACCTAAGGATAGAGGACCGAAGATGAAGTTCATGTTGCTACTGCTGATGATATATCTGTGCCCTGAGAATGGCCGGGAGGGCAAAGGCCAACATTTCTGCAACACATCAAATGTACATGAGCTCGATTAGGGCGATATGGGGATGATGGGTGTCAATTAGTCGTATCTGCTTAGCTTAGAGCTTCCTTAGCTTGTTTTGCTTTTGTTGTGTGACTCTCCGAGGAGCCAGCCAGGTAGGAAATAGTGGTAGGTAGATACGGTGACATCAAGCTAAGATTGTTCTCTCATGTCAGCTACTCTGGAATTTAAAAAAGTGCTGTTTGCTTATTGGTCTACGTCTTTCTTATTCTGATCACCTAGATACTCTACAGCTTTACGTATAGAGTTTAATCATGAAGCTGGCTTGATGCCTGGCTAATATAACTAAGTACTACTAGCGGCCCAATACCGGATGAAAGCACGGTATAGAGACTATTATACGCCACTCGAGTTTGCAGATAGCAGACACGTCTATATCGAGTCTCGAATTCAGATTCCAGTAATGAAAACCCAGAATTCAGCCCCGCTCTACGCTTGCTTTTCTCATCTGGTGCTCCCAATGAGTTTTGGCATCTACTATGACCCGAAAAAAGTCAACTATGGCTCGTGAGTGTTCTGAGCCAGAGCCTCTTTCACCTCTTCCTTACAGATAGCTTTCTTCATAGTGCCCAACCCCTCACACCGAACCAGGTCCTGACAGCTGTTTAACACTAACACCCAGCATCATAAACTTACTATTAACATTTCTATGGCTTATGGATAGAGAAAAAAGATCTGACCCTGCCACATCATACATCATCCATGTATAACATGGCAAAGTCCCATTAGATATCGTGTCAATAAGCTATATCGCCATTTACTGGATTTTAAATCGCGCAGAGGCACTAATTGCATACTCCATAACTAGCCAAAGGCGGACATTAGGTGATGGCAACTACTCCTACCGCTTTATTGACCGCCATATGCGGCAGAAACTATTGAACCTCGTTGAAAAAACCTCGGATTTAGCGGGATTTGGAAACATACAGCTCCCAAAGAAGTCATCTCAGATTCTGTATGTTTTGGCGGTGTGGTGTGGCAGTATGTTGGGATGAGGCGGCCAACAAGCCAATAGTTACCAGCTGACTAACTTCTGACTCACCCACCTCCCCGGCGCAACACTTCCGCCGACGAAAAATAGCTCCCCCCCCCAATTTTCTTCATTTTCTCACACTTTTCATTTTCCCACAGCTGGAGCTACTTTTTCTCTCAGCTTGACTCTAATGCTCGAGTCGCGTATTACATCGCCACAATTCGACATTGTCACACTACACGACTAATGATAATTCAGGTATGCATACCAATCTCAGTTTATTTCTCCTTAATACAGCTCCATATCCAAAACCGAGGGGTAGAACCAATCAACACACAACCTACACCTATATGATGAGAATTTTTTTCATGAACCGGTATATTAGGAAGAGCCGGAAGAGGAATGGCAGGGACCCCTCTAAAATAAAAAAGAAGGGTGTTCACTGTCGTCGATGCTTATAATGGTTCTGCTGAGTGGTGTTTAAAAGTTGTGATTTGGTTCTATCCATCCCTCTCGGTTTTGGGTTGGATTGACTGGCTGAATTCTTTCTGTCCGCTCTATGTGTGACTGCCAATCTGTTGGGTACTTGTGCTGACAGGTTTATTATAGGTTTTCTTGACGAAGCTCAGGTCAATATACTAGTAGATAGATAGATGGAATACAAGTGTATAGTATCATGTTGGAAGCTATTGACGGATCGTTTTCATAATTTGACATATCTCTATATCGATTTACATTGTATCGAAGCCGTTCGTAAACGTGTAACTCCAGGTATAAAACTTTTCGTGGCCAAACAATCCAAAACACAAAATTCAGGTCTCAACGCCATTCAGATGCATGTGTAATACAGGTAGGTATATATCGCTGGCCCGCGCGCAATCAGGCAATGCTCGTGAATTGCCGCTTCTTGCCCGTGCCCGTCTGCCTCTCCTGCTCCTCGTAGGCTGCTTCATCAATGTAATCCTTTGTGCTTTGTTCCTGGATCTGTTGGCCGACGAACTGCAGAGCGGACAAGTTGAAGCCCATCTCGTCCTTCTGGCGAGCCAGGACCTCGCGTAGCGTAGCTCGGATACCATCCAGCATCGGCCTCATCATCTTACTAGCGACGATCTGGCGGTGGTGCGTCTTGAGGATGAAGAAGAGTACACGGCAGGTGAGGGGAATGTTCCACTCGCGGCTGGCCCAGATATTGAGGAACGTGAAGAGAGCAGGCACCTTCGAGAAGGGCAAGACAAGAAGAGCGTCCTGAAGCGCGGCTGCGGGGATCTTCTGCACGACGTTCAAGAGATACCGCTCTGCCGAGATGTTGTTCAGAGCCATGTACTGGGCATTACGCTGTGGGGGTGCAGCGTTAGGCTGTCTGGCCTTGAGGGCGCGCCATTGGCGCATGACCTCCAAGTCCTCCATACCCAAATCCAATGCCTCCATGATCTTTTCACCTGCCATTAGCGTCTCCGCGGTTTGTTTTCCGGCGTCAACAGCTTCAGCCTTCTCTCCATCCTGGCCATCCTCGTCCTGCTCCAAGGAGGCCATCAGGTTGTTGTCGTACATCTCTTCCAGTTCCTTCTCTCTTTCTTCCTCCAGGAACAAGGGCTCATCAGTCTGCTCCCAGGTACGGATGCTCTTGTCATGACTGGCGGTGACGATGAAATCTCCCGAGTGACTGATAGTCAGAGCCCAGATTTCACCGTGGTGACCGGCCAGCTTTTGGATGTGTTCGAACTTGTCACCATCCCAGTACTTGATAACACGGTCCTTGCTAGCGCTGAAGAAGTTGTGCCCGTTACCATCCTTGTTGTTCGGAACGAAAGCAACTGCCATGACACTGTCCTCGTGGGCCAAGAAAGACTTGTGGCAATCACCAAAGTCCAAGCCCCAGACACGGACTGTCTTATCAGCCGAACACGTGACAATCAGCTTGCTGTCCCAAGAAATATCCATGTTGAGAACAGGAAGCTTATGGCCGTAAAGGTTAAGGAAGAGTTTGAGGGAGTCGACAAAGAAGACCTTGACCGTGTTGTCCAGAAGTGCAACAGCCAGCAGCCGAGCATCAGGGGAGAAGCGAACATTAAGGATGTCATCCGAAACCTTGAGCGTTCTGGTGTGCACCAGCTTGAGTCGGGGGGTTGTTCTCTTGGTACCAGGAATTTCTTCCTGAACCACCTGGAAGTTCCAGAACTTCGCAGATTTGTCGGCACTACCACTCACCAAAGACTTGCCGTCGGGATGAACTTGAATGGACCAGACCGGCCCATCGTGCGCTTTGATCGTATCCAGAAGGGTTGACGAGGCGATATCAAAAACCTCAAGCTGGCCATCCTTGTTTCCAACAACAACAATCTTGTCACCAGGAAGAAAAGCAGAGCACAGAGCATAACCACATTCAAGGGTACGCAGGCAGGTTTGAGTCCGGACGTTCCAGATCTTAAGGCTGCCGTTGGAGGCCGACGCCAGCATCCGATCGTCCGAGCTCAACGCAACAGATCTGATGTCGGTGCGGTGGCCGGGGATGTCGACTGCCAAGTTCCGGCTGTAGTCTGGCTCCTCCTCATCCTTATTCTTCTTGTTCGCGGTCACGACGCTGTAAGCTTCGAGTTGGTTGTTTGTGGTCGCGGCCAGGAGTTGCAGACTTCCACTTGACTTTGTGCGAATCCAGTCAAAGGACCGGACCTTACCGCCAGTTCGTACGATAGTGTGAGGAACAAAGACTTCCGAGACAGGCGCAGATGAGGCATCCTCTGATTTGTCGTTGGCATCCTCAGCAGTTGCTCCATCCTTGTCAGCTGCACGCTGCGCGTCCTTCTCCTTTCTCCTCTTACGCTTCCTAGCCAGGCTCTTCTGCACCTCCGTCTGCGAGCGAATGCGCCAGATCTCGACTGCCTTCTCAGAGCCGTGGATTCCAATATAGTCCGCTCGAGGGTGGAAGCTGATTCCGATTGTGCGGTCCTTTCCATTCCGGTAGAATATACCCCGGTCCGTTAGGATCTTTTGTCCCTCCGAGCCGACCTTCTCTTTGGAAATGTGAATCATAGCACTCTCATCAATCGACCAGACCTTCAGTTCTCCATCGTTTCCTGCCGTAATGCAGCCACTCTGGTCGGGTGAGAGGCCGAGGCTCCAACACTCGCCATTAGACTGTGCCACATGCGTTTCGATGCAGTGTTGCGCAGCCAGGTCCCAGACTTTGATCAGAGCGTCTTTCCCTGTCGTCAACAAGAAGCCCGCATGCTCACTGAGACCGGCCTCATTGAGCAATTCAATGGACGGGGTGAGGAAATGGAGCGACGTAATCTGATCGGTGTGTCCGCGCAGTTTGAAAAGTCCGACTTCCGCAACCAGATCCCATACGATGATGTCCGTGTCTCTCGAACCACTTGCGAGGCGGACCCCTGTGCTATCGAAGGCAAGCTGAGTGATGGCCGACTTGTGGCCATTGAAGGAGATAATCACCGTCTCGGTCCGCGAATCCCAAATTCGAATACTGCCGTCTTCATAACTGTATCACAGAGGGACATCCAAGATTAGCAAGGTAGCATGAAAGGTTGCTACCATGATGAGAGAACTTACCCGACCGCAAAAATATCCTCATCCGTTTTGCTCCGTGTAATTATCGTCACCTGGGCCTTGCAAGACGTATCGTGCCATCTGCCTAGTAGTTCACCCTTCTTGATGTCCCAACAGAGAACCTCCTCGCTCGCGCCCACGAAGGCTCGCCCAGAGCCTGTCCGACGTGCGGAACCCGCGAGTTCATCGTCCCGGGCCCAGATCGCATTCGACGATCCGGACGCAATGAGCCCGAAAGTCTTCGAATGCTCGAATTTGCTGAAGAAGTCAGTACACTGAAATAATTTTGGGAAAAATTGCTACACCCTTGAGCGTCTCACTTACAAATATGACTTCACCATCGTTGGGTGTTTTGCGACCTGGGAAAAATTTTGGGAGCTCGGAGAATGAATGCTATCGATAGGCGCAAATGGCGGCGGTCGCTACGGAGGGCGACAGCGACCACTGCCGGCCTCCCCCACCGCCTGCCGGTTCCCCAAAGCCCCCATCAACGTAACTCCCATCGTGGCAGTGACCCTCGTGGGATTGACAGCCAGAATTAAAGGGAAAGGAAATCGCAGGTCGAGAATCTGAATCTATTACTCATTATCATTGGATGCGTCCGTCAACATGCTTTTGCTAGACTATCACAACGTTCTCATCCACTCCCTCCTGACGGAGCGGTTCTCTGGGTACAGCTTCCCCCCCGCCTCCGGTATACGCCAGGCTACCAGCTAACAGCTCCATTCATGCTTCCTTCAGAACCCCGCCCGTATCAATCGATCAGATCGTTTCCGACTTTGACGGAGTGACCTTTCATCTGTCTACGCCAGAATCCAAAACCAAGATCCTCATCTCCATCAACGTGAAATGCTTCCGGGAGCTTGTCCAGTACGGCGCCCAGGAGGTGCTGGAAAGGGAATACGGCCCCTACATTGTCACCCCAGAGCCCGGCTATGACTTCTCCGTCCTGATCGATCTAGAGAACCTGCCCGCCGAGCAAGAGGCGAAGGATGAACTCATCATGCGCCTGGCGCTGATGAAGCGCAACGCCATGGCCGCCCCCTTCGAGAGAGCATTCGATGAATTCGCCAAGTTAGCCGAAGAGGCTTCGAGATACACAAGCGAGACTGCGCCCCAGGGAGTTAAGGAGGGAGGAGAGGTTATGGCCATTCACTATCGAGAGGAGGAAGCGATTTATATCAAGGCCAGCCATGATCGTGTCACGGTGATCTTCAGCACAGTGTTCCGGGAGGAGACAGATCGCATCTTTGGCAAGGTGTTCCTGCAGGAATTCGTCGATGCCAGACGCCGTGTCCTCACCCTGCAAAATGCTCCCCAGGTACTCTTCCGAAACGACTGTCCTCTGGAGCTGGCCGGTGTGCCTGGCCTTCAGAACGGTAATGACGGTAGAATCAGCTACGTCACTTTCGGTATGTATTCGTTGTTATGCATCACCCACCGTTCGCAGTCACTAACCGCTTCTAGTCTTGTTCCCTCGTCACCTAACCCCCCAGAGACGCTATGAGAACATCTCCCACATCCAGATATTCCGTGATTACTTCCATTACCACATCAAAGCATCCAAGGTAGCTTTATATGTCATAATGCAGGCCAGTTCAATATGCTTACTAAGTCTCCAGGCATACATCCACACTAGGATGCGCAAGAGGACCGCAGACTTCCTTCAAGGTAAGAAGCGACCCCTAACAATTGTGGTATGTCCAGTTCACTAATGAATGATAGTTCTCAACCGGGCGCGGCCCGAGAACGAGGAGCGAGAAAGGAAGACGGCCAGTGGCCGTACTTTCAGGGTTCAGGGATAGAGAGCTGGCTCAAGAATATAATCTTTGTAAATTGCAGGCGAGGGGTGACATACGCACATGCATAAGTCCATTTTTTTTTTTTTTTCTCTAGGATGTATAGATTGTCGAGCATCATAACTTTTATCTTCCCATTTTTCCTTCCTTTCATTACTTTTATTATTTTTTCTTTTTTGGCCCTCTCAACCTCGCATTGTCAAAACGCATGACAGCTGCATGTGGCTTGAAGTAGTAGTGCGGCTGCCTTGCTTTGTTTTATTTGCTGCAATATAATTCTACTAACCAACCCATAAATACCGCTGGCTGCTGCTTCAGCTCTTCCGTTCCCTCCCTTCCGTGTGACGGATGTTGACAAGTTGGTGCAGAGCTGCAAACACCTGAAATGAAGCTTTGAGGGAGTCTCCTTAATCCCCACTACAGTGTTTCACTTTCCCCATCTGTCGCAACATATTTATCGGTCTAACCTCCAAGCTTGTCCTGCACGTTAAGCACACTGGCGTGGGTCTAGTCACTGCGCTATTCCGCTACGGCCGACGAACACTCGCGCAGGATGCACTGGTTCGGAATCGAGCCTCAGATCGGCCGAAGCACTCCGATATGTTACCGTGGCTGTCTTCTAGCTGCAGCCACAAGTCCAGCTGGGTGAAAAGCACACAGATGACCGGGTTTAAGCGTGTGAACCATCCGAACCGCCCTATCAATGCACCTGATCGTCAAATATGACTCGGATCGCCCAACAGGTCGCCTTCAATTGGGCAAGGCATTCCCAGGGGATTGGTTCGGTGTCGCACATTGACTGCAAGGAGATTTAAGTGGTGTTGACTGCTGGCCAGGATCCGTGGGGGTCGTCACTATCTATCTAGCCAGCCTCGATCGGAGAAACGGGGGGGCTGTAGTGGTGATGTGATCTCAGCTCGGGTCTATTCTACGATGATCATTTCCGGTGTCTCCGCAGGTTCTCATTCGACACGGCGATGTCTCTGCCTATTTGCTGGCTGGCTGGGAGTTTGGAGGGGTATGGCCGTCTCAGCGTGCTGTCCTCCATATTGGGTCTATCTATCATACGGGGTACATGCCGATAACCGCCTCCTGCGACCTTAGTGAGATTACCGCATAATTTCTTTTGGAATCCGACACCAAGGGATTCACGCTGCATTGGCGTCCCCATTAAATGCGCAATGACCAAGAACGGGCAACGCTGACCCCAATCCGTACAATTTTCCAGATATCAGCTCCTCTAGCTCAGTCTAGGCACGAGCAGTGGGGAGAATCGCCTATTATACTGGACACCCGCTCCGTTGAAGCTGTACAGCGGGTGTAGTTTAGCCTGACCTGCACTAACAAATGAGAAATACCGCGACGGGTCGCGACAGAAAGCATGCGCGACCAAATGTTTGAGCTCGACGGTGAGATGCAAACATGTTGGACGTGAGCCACGTCCTATCCCAACCAGGTCATGCAGGGTTTTTGTACGCTCAGCACTGCCTAGCCGATAGTGCGCTGTAGACGAGGGCGACCATTCGCCTTGATCATGCCAGGTCAGCTGTCTAGTTGGTCAAGTGGATTTTCTAGTAAAAGCGCCGTCTATATCGAACCTGTTCCCACCCGACTAAAAAGGTGACAGCAATAGTGGGAGCCCGAGTAAACCCTTTTCTATTTTTCTGACCGCAACCCAATGGCGACACCTGTTCGTGGCTATTTGGTTTTCGCTTACGTTTCCCCTTTCTTCTACCTGGCTGCGAATTATTACTGAGGTTTTAATTAGAGCATCCTTACTCGCTACTTCGTCCCAGCTGAGAATGTGACCATCTCTTCGGCTAGAGTAGTCAGTCTCGACGGTGAGAACTACTAAAACAGTCGGGGGGACCCCGCCTGCAAGGTATCCCTGTCAGGGCGCAGATTAGCCCTTCAGAGCGTCGCAACCCTGCATGCTATATATCGCAACGTCTCTGCTCCAGCGCGAAAAATTAGACGTGATCCGCAGCAATATCGGCCACGGTCTTGCTCTACGATCAGCGCTATCAATCGTTGCGCTCCTCCTGCAGTTTCTCTTCCCTCCGCTGCCAACAAACAGCTCTCTAGACCACCCAAGCCAATATAACGATCCTAAATTCAACGCTAACACCAAGGGTGTTAGCTTCTTTTATCTTTTTGACTGGCTCTCCCAATCCTTATACCTTTATTGGTTTGTCGTAGCTTACTCCCGCTTCATCACCCTCTGGGCCGGCCATGTCGTCGAGGGGACCTTGATCTGCGGACAAACGGAGTGGGCGACTACGCAGCGCCAAAAGTACAGGCGACAACACTTTACTGGCAGCCAGAAGATCTTATGGACGTACCGAAACACTCAGCCAAGTCTTACAAAATGTCCGACAAGATTAGCTTATTACCTCTGGAACTCATCCTTCACATACTCTCCTACCTTCCCTTCGAGTCCTTGCTTGCCTTCGGCGAAACATCTCGCACCAACTATGAGTCCCATACCCTCTGTCTTGAGTGTCTACGATTAGGAGTTTTTGAGAAGCGCATCCACTCTGTGATTTCCTTACTCCAGGCTGGCTGGACCACCCCGGATCAAATGGCACAGATTTCCAGTCACAATAAACAAGCGAACGACTACACAATATCCATCATCCAACCTGCTATGAGCCGGCTTGCAAGCGACCTGGACAGCAAGCCTCTGCTAAAAATCAAAAGCTTGAAAAGACGGTGCCCAGCACTACTCGAAAAATCCCGGACATTGGAGCAGATGACTCGGGAGCAGAACAGGGTCTTTGCCCAAGTGGTGAATCGGTATGGTCGAGGCCTTAGGAAACTGGAGTTCATGGCGTATGATCTTGACAGCGAGGGTGCCATGGCTCTAGCTTCTAAATGCCAGAATATATTGCATCATCTAGCATTGCGCTTCGAGCATCCACATATTCGGGATGGCCCCATCAGACCCAGCACTTGGATGAATCCTGCCCCAGGAAGTACGGCATGGAACATGTTCCTCGGTATAGGACGGTACCCACAATTTGGCCTTTGCGGGCTACAGACTTTGATCCTGGAGCGGGCGGGCATCACTCCGTGGCAGTTGACCATGCTTGTGAAGAAAAACCCCAAGCTGACTGTTCTCAAACTGAGAACATGTCGCGGTGTGCAGCCCGAGTTTCTAAACTGGCTAGGTGGAGTGTACTACGAGCCAGAAGAGCTAGGGAGCGATGAGGACAGTCTAGCTCCTGGTCGGAATCTGAAAGTGCTGTGGTTGGAAAATTGCCACCAGATACTTGCCCATCCCATCGAAAACTATGAGCACCTGCCCGACGAAATCTGCGACTTTGGTCTTGGATGGGTTAGAGGTCTGACTAGCTTGCGTGTAAGTGGAATCTTGTCCCGTGATACCTGCATTCAACCAGCTGACAGAGTTATCTTGACAGTCTCTATCTTTCAGCGAGAGCGCGAATATCCCGCCCGAATACATTGACAGAGCTAATAGTGTGCTTTGGAAGATACCAGAAGTCATCTTGCCTTATTCGGGTCATGGGGACAAAGCCCCCATCGAAGTTGATCCTGGATTGTTGTAGTCCACACCGGTTGGCTTATTTTTCTTTTTTTTCTTGGAGGGTTGGAGGCATCTTGGTGTTGCTTCTTGCAGGTGACTGGAGAGGGATTCTCGTTTACTGTGTTTTTGAAGATAGACCATTATGTGCAAACACCTGCATGTCTGTGCTGATGCTACAAAATAATGTAAATCAAATACATGACAGCACATGATATGTATGATAAGGCAATGCTAGTAGACGTGTATCATATGGTTCTGTCTGTATGGTGATTCACAAGTACACTACAAGTTGTCTTACTGAAGTACTTGTGAGTGGCACAGCAGACCCCAGATATTTGCCGACTGGGTGACCACAGCTCACAAAGTTGAGACCGTAGAGAGGCCTGGCTAGACCTTTACCAATTCCCTGATTAACGTGTCCACTTTCCTCCCAGGTAGTGCCAACTGCTCGCCTGCCTAAATCATAGATAGCAGTGAGGATAAAATGGCTGAAGAGCAGGTACTTCTCTGGCTGTTGACCCCGTGAGCGCCTTCTCGTTTCCCTCCCTGCATCACCCTGGCCAAACCACAAGAAACTCCCCCCACCCTGTGTAGTGTTAACACCCAGCATGATCATTCACTATCTCCCCTATCAGTCAAGCAGGCATGGGTCTGCTCTTGCAAACGATTGAAACTCACTGTTAACCTTCTCATCTCGTCTCTCATCGGCGGCTCCACCACTCATACGGACTCCGATACCCGCCGCACTGTGACATTCATGGAACCATCTTGCAGAGCGAGCAAAATGATACCGAGTCACAGATCCGCCTCCCAGCTATGGGCCATTGCTCGGCGGAAGCTCTTTACTAGACGAGAGCCCAAGAGCAGCGAGCATGACTACCCACAACACCGCTCCTTTGACTCTGTTTCCTCTTCTTCCTTCAGCGAACACACCGACGGCTTCTACAAGTACTCGTTGGAAGTTCTCCAACAGAGTGACGAAGAATACAGAGATACGGTTGAGAGCAGGGGAATGCGGTCTTCGGACAGTACCGGGATGTCTTACACGTCAGCTGTATGTTGGCTTTGGCATCTTGTTGTGATTCTGTCCCCCAGTTTAGCTGGAAGCTAACACTGGTTTGACAGCGAACGGCCCCTGCCGAGTTTCCCTTCTCTCCTTACGCCGTCGGCGCTGTCGAGTGGAATTCTGCCTCGGGTTATGTCAAGAATCTGGATGATGCGCAGGGTCATGACGTTTCGTCCTGGAAAAATAGTGTGTTGGCTGTATACGTGAGGGTGTACACCGTCGCTAAAGTGGTCTTCATGTCTTTCATCCACTATGGAATTGAAGTAAGGAGACGATGAGCCCAAAGTCCGACACAGCAAGATAGCTGCTAACCATTGGGCATGTGTGTTTCTAGTTGGATGGATTTAACGGCGGCCTAATGGTTTGCATCAGGGACGTAGAAGATGCCATCGCGTCCACAAAGATTGCTCCCTTGGTTGAATGTGTCGAGAAGTTGTACCATGCTCTTTATGCAAGGCTTGTGATGGAGCTTGTCGTTGTCGACTTATGCTCTTGCTTCAAGATTGAAGTTTCCCGCGTTTCTTCGCATAACAACTTCATGCTCCCTGAGCCACGCCACTTGTACAACATATTCCTGGCTTGCAAGCAAGTTCTCGACAGCTCGACAGTCTGCAGATTCTTTAAGAAAGACTTTGTCCAGAACTATCAGGCTACGTTCATCCACCGCGCTGTAACAAAGCTCAACAGTATGCCGTTTGTGATGGACGACCTTATTGGATATCGTCGATTCGCTCTTGGGATTATCGACAACCCGGATTCTCCATTTCGCCAGAGGTGGGCTGGGAGTGGCCTGATCTATCATATGCCACCGCCAAGGGTCCTGATCGTTCATTCTGAGAAATACATGTCTTTCACCCCAAGACAGACTTATCAGTTTATGATCCCACAACAGCCCCTCCCCTTCATTCAGCGGCACAATGCCGACCCAACATTCATGGAAAATGCACGTACATCGGACCACCGGCAGGCTGCGCTAGCCATGCTTGAAGGCAAGACTGTGGGGGATCTTCGAAACGAGGGCACCATTCAGCAGCTGATAGAATACGCCAAAAGGAGAAAGTGTGTATGCCAATCGTCCTGCAGTTGCGGCCAGGATTGTACACAGGAGCCGGACCGACTCTGCCCCTGCGCGGAGTGGAATATGATCCTGTTACTGACTCAGGTGAACGCAAACCGTGGGGCTCTTGGGCTTCGCGACCGATGCACCGTTCTTTCGAAGGCTGTGTTTCAGGAGCTTGCTTCCATCCGGGAAGATATTGACGTCTTCGTGATCGGATTGACACTGAACAGAGCCATTGGGATTTTCGGCGAAGAGATCCAGAAGGAACTATTTGCCGCCATAATTTAACCACAAAAACTGCAATTGAGTAGATGATCTGGGTTTTTACCGGCGTTTGGTGGCATGATGAGTGCGTTGAGGCGTTCATGGAGTGAGGAGTGTGTTTTGCTTTTTCTCCTTTGCTGAGATTACGTTAATTTTCCTTGGTCATTTCCCCTTTGAGTAGACATGTCTGACGATCATCATATTTCCGAAGATCTCGGGGTTGTACAACGGAAAGTGTTGGGGAATGCGAATGTTTCCGAGAGGGAAATGGAGCATGTCAGATCAGTGGATGGTTTATCGACGAGGTAGATACATCTTACATGGTTTACGTAGGAGTGGGAATGGACAATATTCGATTTTAGGAGAAAACCCAAACTAGAATAAAAAATAACATAAAATAAGACAGACATACAACCCTACTAAGTGATAATATGGGCCATCTGCAAGCCAATGCTAGCTCGTGTTACATGGTAGTAGTAGTATGGCTGCATTTTGATGTGGGGGGGGGATGTGATGGATGTAATGTCAAGTTGTATGGGGAATTGAGTGCCTGAATGGAATGTATGATGGAGAGAGATCGATCTTCGAAGATCGCTCATACTTCATATTCCAAAAAACTTAAGCTCAAGCTCAAGCTCAAGCTCTCCTTTCTCAACAACTTTTTGTAACTCAACCGTGAACAAGGTCAGGTGGGGCGCAGGTGACCGGGGATGGGGCAAGTTGGTCAGAAGTTGGCCGTGGTTCGCAAGTCTGGCAAGATTTTCATTTGGCTCTGGCCGAAATTCAGCTCCCCGAAAGAGTCTGTATCTGCGCCTGTGTGGGATTTCCGCCCGGCACAGCAATCTCTGGGAAACTTTTAGCGGGCATGGTGCCCAAGACTGTTGCTAGTTCGACAGGTTGTTTATCATTCATCTTCTCCTCCTCTTCTCCTCTCGCTTCGCCGGTAATTAGACGCAGCCCACTGTGGAGCGCTCATTCCGGGGCCCCCAGCATTTGGGTGCGACGATATCGCGCCGTCTGGCCTTCCTACGGCATCACCACTCCCATCCCGGATCCTAATCCACAGTTCCCCATCTCCCGTTCGCCTTTCTGCTTCCAGACAGGCTATGCTCTCTGCGCCAAACGGCCCTCGCGTCCCTTCCCCCCACCGTTCCTGTCTCCGCCCTCTTCCTCCTTTTCCGACCCGCTGACCACCCACTACCTGAGTCAGGATAAGAGATTATCCGTCCGGGGGGATCTGGTCCGCGGCCTGAACAACGGCGACGATGCTGTTTTAGTGGCGGAGAATTACCTCGCCGTGAACGATGGGGTCGGGGCGTGGGCAACCAAGCCGAGAGGTCATGCTGCGTACGTTGTTTGGTCCCTCAGTAGCAGTCTCCGCGGACACCCCCCTACTACTGACCCTACTGGATCCGTCTCATCCCTTCCCGCGTGCTGACATACCCTTCCTTGTTTACATAGGCTATGGTCTAGACTGCTCCTCCATTTCTGGGCTTTGGAAGTCGAACGAGACCCCAATGGACAGTCCGAATTAGATCCCATCGGCTATCTTCAACGAGCATACGAGGAAACCATCCGGGCAACGACTTCCCCAGGTGAATGGCTGGGAACTACCACATCGGTCACAGCGTTACTGCATTGGAAGCGCGATGCTACGGGGAACATACGGCCCCTGCTCTACGTGACCAATATAGGTGACTGCAAGGTCTTTGTCATCCGACCTAGCGAGAAGAGAATCCTCTTTCGAACCAAGGAACAATGGCATTGGTTTGACTGTCCTATGCAGCTGGGCACAAACAGCGTCGATACTCCTCGGAAGGATGCAGTCCTTTCATTGGTTGATATGCAGGAGGATGACCTCGTGGTGGCCGTGTCAGACGGCATCCTGGATAATCTCTGGGAGCATGAGATCCTGACTATTATCCTAGATAGTCTGGAGAAGTGGCAGCAAGGACGTCATGAAGATAAGGACTCGGAGTGGGCGCCCCCGGCTGTAATGGCGGACGAGCAGATGGTGTTTCTAGCCAGGGAGCTGCTCAAATCTGCTCTGGAGATTGCTCAGGATCCCTTTGCCGAGAGTCCGTACATGGAGAAGGCGGTGGATGAAGGACTGGCCGTGCAGGGTGGTGAGTGTCTTCGCATACCGGTTCAGCGCAGTAGACTAATCTTGGGGCAGGGAAAATGGATGACATCAGTGTGGTAATCGGTTCTTGCAGGAGGAGGCAGTAGGCCTTTCCGCTGGTAAACCTTGCACGCAGGCGGTTGGTTAGGACTGAAGTAGTTCTTACACAGCTCATGCCAGCACGGAGTTGACTTGCATAGCCTTTCATACTTTGACTTCCCGCACAAACCTCCGTCTTGATTTCTGTGGGAGAGGGCGTTCTGTAAGATGGTAGATGTCCGAATCAACTTCGGCTCGGCCGTCGGACAGTCGCTCAATCATATCGCATACGCACTATATGTGCATGGCATGGGTGGTGTATATGTTGCATGTTGGGATCCGGAGCCATTTGGAGGCCGGTTCGAGAGGTGGTAATGGCGTTCGTGGGACATTTTACGTTTCGGGCTATATATATTCGACTGGCACAGCGAGATAGACTACTGCTTATTAACATTGCATTAATACCCTCGACATATTCTGTCAATTTATCAACTTTCCTTGTGAGACAAAAAGTAAACACGCATCTCCCACATGCCCTAATTCCAAATTTTCTACTCCAAGCCCCATACAGACATACATACACATACTGCATATGTAACTACACAATCTCTCACCATCACAAAACAAAGACAAAAACAAAAGAGAAAAAGAAATTGCCTCCACACGGGATCGAACCGTGGACCTCATCATTACTAGTGATGCGCTCTACCACTGAGCTATAAAGGCGCTTTGATGGAATGGTGGCCCCATATTTGACTCCATCAACGGCTGCTTAACAAGCCCACGCACAGACCACATCCCGAGCTTTCTCCTCCGCCCGGCAAAAAAAGTGACCGCCGACGCAAAGAAAAAAAAGTCCAATTGCACCAAACCCAATCCCCCTCACAGGTTATACATACTATATTCTAACGCACCTCAGACGACCCGACAGTCAAGATGAGGGCCAAGCGATCCAAGAAGTACCGCAAGCTCATGCACCAGTATGAGCTTACGTTTGGGTTCCGTGAGCCGTATCAGGTTCTGGGTATGCAGACATCCATTCAACCAATCACTCATACTATCATGTCCAGGATAAGGGTATACTAACTAATATATGTGACAGTTGACTCTAATTTCCTCCGCGCCGTCCACTCCTTCAAAATGGACTTGATCCCCGCTCTGGAGCGCACTCTTCAAGGCAAACCCAAGCCTCGTATGTTGCCCCGGATATCAACTTTCGACTGCAATCAGTACAGTATACTAACAAATTGGATCAGTCCTCACAAAATGCTCCCTCGCCGCAATCATGGCCTCCCAACCCATCAACCCCAGGACCAACAACCCCTACCGACCCGACCACCTCCCCCCACCCACCACCCTTCCTCTCCGCCACTGCTCCCACAACGCTGACTCGACCCCCATCGACGAAGTCGAGTGCCTCCTCTCTCTCCTCTCGCCCTCCGCGGAGAGCAAAAAGAACAAGGAACATTACATCCTCGCGACGGCGGACCCGCACAACGCCAAGGACAAGTCCGCGACGGATAACACAGCCGCCGGTCGGAAACGGAAGCGCGACGCAGAGGACAAGGCTGAGGCGGCGTTACGGAAGTCGAGGTTGCTACGGCGCCAGGCTCGGTCGATTCCAGGTGTGCCGATTGTCTATGTGAAGAGGTCGGTGATGGTGTTGGAGCCGATGAGTGATCCTTCGGATGCGATCAGAGAGGGTGTGGAGAAGGGCAAGTTTAGGGTTGGGTTGAATGATGAAGCGAGAAAGCCGACGACGGCTGGGGACGGGGAGAAGACGAAGAAGAAGAGGGATTTGAAGAAGCCCAAGGGACCGAATCCGCTGAGTGTAAAGAAGCCGAAGAAGAGGGCGCCGGAAGATACTTCCGGGAAGGCGGAGAAGCCGAAGAGAGAGGCTGAGGAGAGACCTGCTGCGGAGGAGCGGGATGGAGAGGATGGAGATGCTGCGCCGAAGGCGAAGCGCAGACGTCGTCATCATAATCGCGGTGCTGGGAAGACGGATGGTGATGAGGGTGGTGCGCAGGAGGCTGCCGCGCCGGCCGATGCCATGGATGATTGATTGTTTTGCTAGGGGCTACTTTTCTTTTGATTTGACTTCCATGGTACGGCGTTCGGCGGACGAGATAAAAAAGTGTCCATATGTATTGTGTATAGGTAGTTATCATCGATATTGATAGACGATTCCAACATCTAACATACCCATCCCAACACAACACAACACAGCCCAAACAAGCATAAACATACACCGTCAAAGAAGCAGCATAAGAAGAGAGAGATATGATATAGTATAATAATCCCGAACGCCAATCAATGTAAGTAACCCACATGCACCCAGCCCATCAGACACATACATCAATCATATCATACACCCCCCACCGCCACCAAGCACAACCACAAATACATACACCCATTTATTTCTCCGCCGCACTTGAACCCGAAGAAGTCGAAGCAGAAGAAGCCAACGAAGAAATTGATCCCGTCTCCGCAAGCGCCTTCTCTTCAGCCCAAATACGCTCAATCTTTTTGCGCTTCTCCTTCGCCTCATCCCGGTTGCGCTTAGCGCGCGCATACCGCTCCGCCGCTAGACATTTGTTCACGTCGCGCTTGACATCGTTGCATCCGCCCAGAGCTTTGTGAATGAAGCCTCGTGCATGGCATTCGTCGAGGGCGGTCATGATTTCCTCGCAGTCTGTTGAGGGAGAAAGTTAGTTGAGTGCTTGGTATGGTATGATGAGATGTGATGTCGGTGGAGAGATTGGGGGGAGTGACGTACTTGCGTTGTAGGGGGTGTGAAGATGGGAATGCATCGTGACTGTCTTTTAATAGTATATTATGCTAGGTGGGATTGAATGAAGATGCCAAATTGACGTTGTATATACACCAAGTTCAACTGCACTGATGATCCGCATATGGAATGGAAGGATTTCTTCCGTAAAAGCCGGGCGGTGAAGACTTATCGGGTATTATTCTGCCGGGCGGGGGAAAAGAAGAAAAAATTATTCTTTTTTCTTAACCTCTTTGATTAGTTCAACTAATTGCTTGTCAACGGTGTTTCTGTTGGCATTCTTTTGTTTGGACCTTCGAGGAATTTGTGATTTCCTCTTTTGTGTCTATATTGGTTCGAGTTCGCTGTGTAGGTTGATCAATCGCCTGCGGCAGGATCTTCGATCTATCTCTTTTCTTTCTTTCTCTTTTTGACTATCTGATTTACGATTGATTGCTCTCACGATGTCTATGATTACCACTTCCGCTTGGGTGCGGCGCGGAGTCGCTGCTCAGTTCCCTACGAAATATGAGATCAATGAGGAGGAAATGGATCGCATATCGAAGCTTGCGCGTATGCAGCTTGAAGAGGCGCAGGGTGATTTGAAGGCTGCGCAGGAGGATGAGGAGATGGAGGAGGATAAGAAGGAGGGTGC